GGGCAGAGGTGCTTGTCCAGGGAAGAAGAGGCCCCGGTGGCCCTCGGGGTGCAAGTCCACCTGGAGGCAAACGCTTGGCACACACGGCCACAGCCGAGGAGGTCCTGGCCCGTCAAACTCCACGCAGCTTGAGCTGTGCACACCTTAGGGTGTTGTATTGTCCTGTACACAGTGCCAGTTCAAAGTAGCGCACAGTCGCTTCTTGACTAGGGAGGTGTGCCGCCGGGGACTCCCTATCCCATGATGCACATACCTGCAAACTGGTTGTTCCTTGTGGTATGCGGGGGGGGGGGAGGTTCAGGTGCTTGCAACCTTTCCTGCAGGCTGCAGTGAGCAGATGTGGGGGTGCCCCTGCAGCGGGCGGCTTCCCAGTGCTGCTTCCGCATGAAAGATGCTCGCATGCTGCCCGTGGCGCCTCAGAGTGGTAACAGAAGGACAACTTCTCTGCCCTGAGAAGCTTACAGTTTTGTCGCCTGACCTGGGGGTTGCACGGAAGGAGTGGGGAACGAGGAGGCGAGGATAAACGAGGAACGGTCCTGCTTCCGCCCCCGTTGAAGAGGCGCAGGGCTTCTCTGCCTGAGGGATGCATTGATCGTGCCTCTGTGACCCCTCACTTGCTTTGCGACTTTGTGGGTCCGCCCTACAAGGTTGTCATCCAGGCATTTTTGCAGGTTGTTTTCGGATGAGGAAAGTGCAGCATTTTCCGGGATGCAGCTGCGATTTGCCTTGAAAATCGGAATGCGTCTTTGCACTTCCGCTGTGCGCTGCATGCTGTCTCGTGAATTCCTCATGGAAGGTCCAGAAAGGCAGAGAAGGAAGGCACCCAGAAAGGCTCCCCACGGGAAGGATGCGCTCTGGTTCTTGCAAAGACACCCTGGGGAAGCAGAGGGGGCAACCTAAATTCATGTCCCTGCAGCTCCTGCCGTACTCCCTACAGGAGCCTTCCACCATGTGGCAGTGCTGCCTGGGGATGATGGGAGTTGGCGTCCAAGCCGGTTCATAGGATCCTTTGCTGGCACGGAGCTCAGTGCACCGGAAGAGCGGCCCTCTCGCACGCGTCTCGCCGTGTGCGCTCTCTCAACTCTCCCCACCTTTGCTTTGCAGCAGGCTGCTGGCACCGGAGTACACGGAGACCCATTACACGAAGGACGGGCAGCCCGTGACCCTGTCACCCAGCCACACCGTAAGTTCTGTGCCCAAGGGTGGCGGAGGGGTCTGAGGAATTCAGCCCTTTAGAGCGGGGGAGATGTGCAGAGGCCAGGAAGTTGCCGAACAAGAGGCAGGTGGGAGCAGGGGCGGCCGCCTCCTGCAGAATCGGGGCCCCCGTGGAGCGAACTCGGCCCACGGGCCTGAGCTTGAACCCGCTCCCCCCCCACATCCAGTATCCAAGCTGTCACTTTGGTTTTTCTGTTGGCTAAAAACCAAGACTACTTTCTTCAGCCCTGGCTCTTTGTCCAGCTTTGCATGAAGACTTGCAAGCTGCATTCTCAACCAGCGCTGAGGTGTAGGGCTAATTTGGGAACGTATAACGGAGAAGAGAAAGACGCTTTGGGTACCAGCGCATGGGCTCCTGCCACACCCAGGCTTAGCCTGCTATACTGCAAATTTTCTCTCTGTCCAGAGCTCAGAGAAAGAAATATGTTTGTTCCTTTGTAGTACCAAGGTTTTTTCAAACTTCTTCTTCTTCCATACTAAAAATGTTAGTCTGGTCACCGCAAGTTTCTAGTTCTTCTTGTGGTTGGAAGGAGAAATGAGTAAGCATGCTTGCAGCTGGCGGAGTTTTAGAAACCCAGGCAGAGGAGCCAAACTCAGTATCTGGTCGGAGTGTTTACATGAGAATGTGGGGCAGGAAGGGTTCATCAAAAGGAGACAGAAATCTTTGGCTGAGATAAATGAGGAGACTTTTAAGGGAAGGCTAATCATGTAAATGAATCATCGTGTTTTCCTAACCACTCAGCGTGGTTAGTCAGGCATTATTATGTATTGATTTTTTAGCACACTCAGAGGGCAGAGCTCTTTGTAGCGTGACTAACAGGATGGGACCCAGGACTGGGGCCCGTAATGGACTGGATTCCTCTGTGCCGGGAAGCACTTTGGCCGGCTTTGCAGACTGAGAATCGGGCGCGGCCAGCCGCACCGGTGTGGTGTGCCGGCAAGAGTGCTGGACTGGCGATCTGGGATCCGGTTCCAGTTGCCACGCAGCTGCCAGGCTCACCAGGTGCCTCCGGCCCCGTCACAGACCCTCAGCCCGGCCCACCTCGCAGGGTCGTTGTTAAGATAAGCAGAGCTGTGTGACACGAGGCAAAAGGGCAGGCTCTAAATGCAGTGTGATGACAACGTTGCCGGGTCGGGCCTGGCCTCCGAGGCCCCAGTGGCCGCAGTGGCCCAGAAGCCTTTCTCTGGGATGGCTGTGCCCCCCTGCGGTCTCTTCCGGGGGAAGTCACTGAAGGTTTCCGTGAAGGGCAGCATCGGAGGGGGCTGCGCCATCGGGCGTCCAGAGAGCAGGACGGGGCCGGGCGTAGGAGCGGGTTGCAAGCCTGGAAGCAGCTGCCCGGGCTCCCTGCTCGCTTCCAGGCCCCGCTCAGTCTGCCGGCCGTAAGCTCTGAACCCGTGAACAGAGAGGGACCAGGGCATCTGGCAAATGTCACCTCCATGTGGACCTGTCCAAGGAGAGGGTGGAGAAGGACCCCCTCCCCCCGGGACCCCTCCAGGGCAGGCCTCTGTCCATGCGGGGCCAGCACAGATCCTCCGGCGGAGGCGTTTGCTACTGGGGCACCTCAGACCGAGGCTGCCTTCCCCAGGGAGGCTCATGCGGCCCCGGGCCGGGTGTCCTTTGCTCAGCTTGAAGAGGCTGTTTTGGGTTAGGGCTGCTGAGCCCCACCATTTTTAAGATGCCAATTTCTCCAGCTTTTTGCGGGAGAGGCAAGCAGGAGGTCTGAGCTGGGATGCAACACTGGACTGCCCAGCTATGAAGTGTCCCTCGGCTGTGGGTCCATCCCATTGCCTGTGGCCTCCTTCCAAACAGTCCCCGATGTTTCTACAACATGCAGGTTCTTGTGTTGTGTGAACCGGGGCTTCTGTCGCTTGGGCCTTTTGCATGTGGTTCTTGGCTGTTTGCTCGTACTATTTCAAACGTATGAGAGGCTTCAGGTCTGAAAGGGGAGGATTTTCCGTTGGCCGACGCTTTAATTGGCCTCGGACAGTAGCTGCTCCAGGCCTCGTGGTCCAGGTGTCCACGCCAGACGGAGGTCAGGAGCCTCCTCTCTTTGGGCACCTGCCGTTCAGTTGGCTGAGGCCGCTTCCACTGGAGGGGGAGATGGGGCTTTGGCAAGGGAGCCCCCCAAACCTGGCGGTACTTCAGCGAGGGGAGGATGCGGAGCAGCACGGCTTGGGAAGTGGCGGGGTGGGGACGCCACGGGCGGGAAGCTCTCCCGATCCCTCAGGATGGGAGTGAGATCGCTTTGTCAGTCCAGGTCTATTCTGTGTCTTCTCCCTCCGGTCGCTCTGCTGAATGTCTGGTCTGTGCAGATGTGGTGTAAGAGCCTCTAAAAACAAAATAAGTCCAATAAGAGGGTAATGATAAGTCAGACACAGGGTCCCTCTTGCCCAGCCTCCGTCTGTTCCCACAGTGGCCAGCAGCTCCCCGTGGGAAGTCCACAAGTCTGCCAGCAACGGGGGCATGCAGGCCTGTGGCTTCTGGGGCCGGAGATGGCGTGTGGCCACTGGGACCCATGGCCAAGGGTGGCCGTCTCCTCCATGGAGGGGAAAGCCTGGGATGGACGCGGAGGGATGCGTCAGCCTTTTCGGATTTCCTTTGGGAGCACAAGGGCCTTCCAGCAGCAGCTGTGTGGTCGTTGTGTTTTTGTTAATTATGTGAAGTTTATTGTCTGAATTCTTATCTTGGGAGCTGCCCGGAGAGGGGCTTTTTAAATCCTGAACTAACTTTAACTTTAAAAGGGCATTGATTTCACGGAGGTGAGGAAGAGGGGAGAGCAGGTCCAGGAGGAATGAGTTCTCCCTAGGAGCTCTCCGATGGGGGGTGGGGGGGGGTGAGACCAGGACTCCTTTTCTTGCCATTTAAAAAGCAAGGATTTTATATCTCTCTTCATTCAGAATGGCTCTTGGAGCCACATATCATCAGGAAAACAGGAGGCTTTCTGGCCTTTGGTCAAAAAGACATGGCATGCAAGGAAAACTGAATCAGGACGGGAGAGGAAAACTCTGCACAGAGAGGTTTACCAGTTTGGCTTAATTAATTGTAGAGGGGAAACCTTAATTGTTGCATGGGCGTTCTAACTGGTGAAGTGGAGAATTAAGGCATGCTTGTTTAATTTTGTTAGGGTGCGGTGCTCTGTCTGTTTAGGCAGAAAAAACTCCGGCAGTTCCCAGCATTCCCTAGCCAGCACTCGGGAATGCTGGGAGCTGCCAGAGTCTTTCTGTCTAAACAGGCAGAGCACTGCACCCTAAGCAGACAGGTCAACTCCCAGTGTCCCCAGTCAGCCGGTGCTGCTCTTTTCACGCATAGACTTTTACTCCCTTAGGTTGTCTTGGTTCTGGTATTTTACTTGAACAGCAAACAGTGAGCTGTAGCTTTTCCCTATTAAAAAGGTGATTTATCTCACATTTCCTCCAGTATCTCAAAAAAGGCATCTGTGTAGAAGTTTGGGTAACAGTCAGAGTGATTTAAATTCATTTAAAATGAGCCATCCAGGATGAATCAGTGGGAAGGCAAAACTGCTGAATTATTTATTTTTTTAATAGGCAGATAACACAGTTTGATATGTTGAGTAATGTTCCCAAACTGTTAGAGCAAGCTGGATTAAAATTTGAAATAAACAAAAGCAGTGATGGAATTCGCTTTGGAGCAAAAATGAAAACAGATGTTTGTGGATTTTGCTCTTTTCCAGACAACCGGATTTTCTTGGAAATTCGTACGGAAGTTTTAGAGGAGTTGCACAGAGTAAGCCCAGAGTTTTTTTATCTCTTGTCTCTGATTGCAGGATCACTGCTACTACCACGGCCAAGTCCGAGGGCACAGCGGCTCTTGGGTGGTGCTAAGTACGTGTTCCGGAATCAGGTAAGGAAGATGGCTGGAGGGACAGTCCTGCCCTTTTCCTCTGTGGGTGCCTAAATTTATATGCAACATTGTCTTACTGATGCATGCTAATGGCATACTTTATTTTTATTTATTTATTAGAACATTTCTATGCCGCCCCTTGCCGAAGCCTCGGGGCAGCTTACAATACAATAAAATACAAAAATAACAATATAAAATTAAAATTAACAATATAAAATAAATATAAAATATAAAATCTATATACTTTAGACGTAACATGACAAAGGTATCCAAAATCATGCCTAATCTAGAGAAGGGAGAGAGGGAGACATCTCTCTCTCCCCCCTCCAATCCTAAATCCCAAAGAGGCCCTCCCACGAAGCCTGAATCCCAGGGGATTTGGGTGAGATCAAAGGAAGGACTTCCTCCTTGGGTGCAGAGTTAAACTATAGAGCTCATTGCCACGAGATGGAGCAGTGGCCAGCAAATTGGGCAGCTTTAAAGGGGGACTGGAGAAATTCATGGAGGAGAAGGCTCTCAGGGCCGACCAGTCTAGCTGGACAGCTGCAACCACCTGAGTCAGAGGCCTTCTGCCTGTGTATACCCGTTGCTGGGGAGCATGGGTGCGGGAGTGCTGCTGCACTGAGGTTGTGCTTGCTGGTTGGCTGCTTTGCGAACGGTGTGCTGGACTGGCTAGGCCCCCCTTGCCTCCTCCAGCGGCCTCTTGACCACCTTCCCCACAAAACGTGGGGGGCATTTCCTCCTCCTCCTCCTCCTCCTAGAAGGGCCGAAGCGGTCGGCTTGCTCCGTGAAATGATTCCGTTTGGCTCAGCCGGGGGAGAGGTGGACGCATCCCTCACAAATGGTACCTTGGAAATCCTGGAATGCACTCATGTTCCAGCTTCTCTGCATAGACCCCACGTGGACCCGCACTTGAGCTGTGAGTGTCTGGCCCCGGGGCATGGTGGGAAAAGTGGTGGGCCTCTGGAGAGTCTGAAAGCAGGGCGTGAGGACAATCGCAACCCCCCCCCCCCCGCTGTTATTGCATTTATTTCCGTCCCTACTTTCCTCTGATGAACTTATGTTCGTATATGTTATATTTCCAACAACCCTGTGAGGTTGGTCAGGCGGAGAGCCAATGGCTGGTCCAGAGTCACCAGGGAGCTCCGTGGCCGAGGAGGGACTCGAACCTGGACCTCCCGAGTCCCAGCCCATCACTCTAACCACTAGGAAACTCATTTTCCACCAGGTCGTAACTCAAACACACAGGCTTGCGTGTGGGTCATGGATTTAAACATATAACCCACCAACCCGTGTGTCCCGGGGCTTCAGCCAGGATGCGGTGACCACCCAGGTGACTTTACACAATTGGCTCTTGGAGGTAAAAATTAACGGCAAGAGCCTCATTCCAGCCCAATCTTCTCCCAGCAGCATTCCAGTGTGTCTGGTCACAAGCGCCCAGTACCAAAACGGCCGTGACTTCAGATGCACGTCTGCAGAGTCATATTCTTTTGATTGTTTTCCTCCAAGGGAGGAGCTGAAGGGCTTGTCCAGAGGGCACCCTGGCTAAATTTAGGAAAGGCCAAAGAAAGGACATTTTCACGCAATCCAGTATTGAGTGAGAGGGATCTGGTGTGTGGTGGAGTGATGGTGTGAGCGGCTACACCGACTCTAGAGTAGACAGGATGTAAAAGCACTCATTTGCTAGACACAGCTATATTCGGGCCATGTGGGGCTCCAGGGGTCAGTGCTGAGCCTCACTCAAGCCTGGGGTATTTTGTTTTCTGAAGCCAGTCAATTAAATTAATGCCTGTTTGACCCTTAGGGCCAGGTTGTTTCTCCACCTCAAAACTTGGGAGGAAGGGGGAAAATCCTACCCAGTAACGGATCGAACGGGGGTTCTTTGTTTCTGTCTGGTTTTTTTCTGTGGCCAAACTTGTCTCTTTTGGTGGGGAACCAGGCGGAGCGCCTGGCACTGACTTTCCTTGTTCTGGAGTTTGCATGTTTGTGGCTGATGTTCCCAAATTCTGCACAAAATGTTATGGCCCTTCTCTTCCAGTGAATTCCCACCTCTGCCCTCTCCCACAGAGGCCGCCTCGCACTCCCTGGCGAGAGCCGGTTGTCCCGGCACTTCGGTTGGGTCACCCCGAAGCCCCAGAGCTGTGGCTAGTTTTGATCCATGAGCTGCACCCAGGGGCAGAAAATTGCCACCACTGAGGACGGGGGTGGAGCTGGGGAGCAGCAAGGGGCAGAGGTCCTCGGGGTCACGCAGCCAGGCCCACGCTCCGGTCTCCTGGCGTGGCCCCACGACACGTCATCGCAGGGCTTGGGATAACTCTGTCCGCCGTGGCCTGTGTGAGCTGCATCATCAGGAATGCTGGCAAGTGAGGTCATTTCTCAGCTATGCGCTCGCTCCAGCCGCCAGCACGCTTCTGCGCCTGAGGATGCGGAGAGCCCCGCGGGCGAGTCGCACAGCGGGAGAACGGCCTCATGGCCTCCTTCCTGGCTTGGATCCTGCAGGGATTTAGGTCAGTCTCGGTGTCCTCCCCGGCCTCTTCCCGTGGTTCAGTTGCCTTGTTTTTCGCTCCGCAGTCTTCATCCTTATTTTTGGGAGGTGCTAAATGAACCGTCCGAAAATTCTCCAGTTCGATAATCTCACAGACCACGCGAGAAGGGCCTCTCCGCAGGAGTGTTCCCTTTCTGCTTTGAGGAGGAGCAATATAGCCAAAGAGTTTCTCTTCTCAGGCGGTGCATTTCGATCTCCGGCACGACGTGTGCTGGGACTTCGCCGCCTGAATGTTCCTCCGCCTTCTCCCCACAGTGCCTACAAAGCATCTGCACTGGGGAGCCATTTTCAGGAGGTCGTGGCACAGAGGAGAGAGGGGTTAGCTGGCTGAGTCTTCCTGCCATTTGCTACCCACCTTCCCAGCCAAAAGCGGCTGTTAGTCCTGAGAAGGGCGAGCAAAGGGCTTCTCTCAAGCCTGGCGATTCTCTTCTCCAGTGCACATGTGCGTGCGTGCGTGGAATTAGGAATCACAACTGCGGGTTCAGCACCCACTTCTCCTCTTGGCGCAAGCTGGATCAGACAAGCGAAAGCACCACCCTGCTGCTCGAGGAAGGAAGAATCAAACCACTTCTTCATAACGGCTTGTTAGAATTAAAAACATGGCGCTCCTGCACTTCCTTTCTGTGCGAGTGTGAGAAGACGCCGCCGGCTTCCGCAGTGGTGCGAGGGGACACCCTCCTCGGAGTCGCCCAGCTCTGGCCTACTTTGTGATCTCTTTGGTGGCAGGTCAAGGTCTTTTTATTCTTCCAAGCCTTTTCATCCTCCATATGCCGAGTGTTTAAGCAATTTAATCATCGATGCTTTTAGTGCTTCGAATGTCAGTTTTAATCTCTGCTGCTTTTAATGTATTGTTTTCTTATGCTGTTGCCATTTTTATGAGGGTGTTTTGGTGCATTGTCTTGTACGTGGCCCTGAGAGGTACAAGGCAACACACAGATATGCAAGATTCAGGCCAACTAAACAGACAGACACACAAATACGCGAGATTCACTGGCATGGGGGGCGGAGACTGCCTCACCTTGACATCTCAGAAAGCCAAATGTTGGGATAAACAGGGCTGGACACAAAAACCCGTGGGAAAGCGTTAGACTCGGCACAGAGGCCTTCTTTAACCTCCTGCTTTGTCTGAGAACTTCCCAGGGTTTCTGAGTCTTCTGCAGACGTTGTCCCAGTTCAGACAATCTGATATCCCAGACTCAAGGGCTGAGCGTGGATTGTCAGTAAACTATGGTTTGTGGCTGCGAGGTGGGTTGTTGTGTCGTCTGAACCGAGCCCAGTTAGCAAACCATGGTGAGCAACCCACAGTTCAAAGCCAGCAACAAACCATGGGTTCTTTTCTTGGCTTGCTCATGGTTAACCAGCCATAGCAGAGCTGGGTTCAGATAACAGGGTAACCCGCGTCGCAATGGCCACTCTCCCTGCTGAGTTGGCCCATCCTTCCCTGGCCGTGGATGCTTGGAGCAGAATCCGTCCAGGCTGGATCAGGCCATGCTATTCTGGAGCACCCACATGCAGGGGATGATGCACTTGGGTGGCTCAGTTCATGCAGGTGTCCTGGACTGGCTTCCTTCCCCCTCCGCCCATGGTGCCCACCGAGCGGTGAGCTCAGACGGACCACAACAGAAACGTGGTGCTCGGAGGCATCGCCTCTGCTCCGAGTGATGCGGAGAGCCAGAATGATGTGGTTGTAACTTCGAGGAGCCCTGTGGAACGTGCAAGTCTGTGGGGGCTCAGGCGGACGCATCGTTCTTTGATGTCTTTCTTGCGCAGCCATTCCCTCTGCTGGACCGGGCTGAGGTGGGCTTTGATCCAGGGCCTCCCTAGTCCCAGCTTAAAACTCTAGCCCAGGGCTGAGCAGCACGTGGCTGTCTGCAGCCCCACACTCCTGCAGAAGTCCAGCAGCCAAGGAGGGCTCATTTTCCCCTACTGGTACGGGGAAGCTTCAGCAGGCACAGCAGCGAGATGCAAGAACCTGCCCCGAGTTCTTTTCCTGGTTGCGGCTAAATAAGGCCTGGCAGGGGGGTGAGCGGGCGGTGGGTGGTGGGGGGGGGGGGGAGAAGGGCTCCTGAGGGGGCACCTGAGCCCTTACACTGCCTTTGCCGGCAGGGAGTTCCTGGTTTCATCCCCAGGACCTCTGGTCCCAGGATTGTAAGAACAGCCTCCTGCTTGAGGAAGTTGCTTGAGGGAGTGGGGGAGCTGGGTCTGGTGCTAGGCAGCTTCAAATCAAGTACTGCCCTCTGGGGTCAGGGGGGAGGATCATGGCCGCCCATGAAGTAGAGAAAGCCCTCCTGAAAAGCATGCTGGGTGAGGCCCTCCCTCGTGCATCCCCCGGCCTCTGTGGCCGGAGCCAAGTTGTGCTCCCTGCAGGCACGGGAGTCGAGATGACCTGGGTGTCCTTCTCTGGTGGATCTGTGGACTGGGCAGTCCTCACTCCCCGCACGGAGGGGTTTTCAGTGCTCATTGCCCTGGGACTTGCTTGAGATCTGAGACCCCAAGTTTGGGGTTTGCAACTGGGGCAACGACTAACAGATCTGCAGACCAGGTTGGATTTCAGCCAGCATGGGCTAGTTGAAACCTAGTTTTGCACTTTATCCTGAGCCTATCAGGGGGCCTGATTTCCTGGACTGCAAGTCATAGTATCCCCCCCGACTCCACCCCAGGAATTGAATGTAAAACAGAACTTTCCATGCTGTGCCTCTCCAGAGCCTCTGCAGTGACTTTTGCCCAGCTTTCCCCGTTGGTCGAGCGGGGTTTTAAATGCTAGAAAAGCTACGAAGCCTGTAGGATGGATGTGAGCGGCGTGAACAGCAATATCTCTTCCCCGTTTATCAGTGTGAAAACAATGCCAGTGGTGCTCTCATCTCTCCAACTTTATCTCTCCGTGTCAGACAAAGACTGAGAGATCTTTGTCCAAATTCAGGCTGGACATCAGGAAAAGCTTCCTCACTGTCAGAACAATAGGGCAGTGGGACCGGCTGCCTGGAGGGGTGTGGGCGGTCTCTCCCACACTGGGGACATTCAAGGCGAAACTGGGCAGTCACCTGAGTGGGAGGGTGTGACTCGGTGTCCTGCAACAGTAGTGGGGTGGACTGGATGGCCTTCATGGCCCCTTCCAACTCTGCTATGATTCTATGATCCGAGCTGAGGGTTGAGTTCCTGCTTCACAAACAGAAAGCTGTGGGTAGCAGGTGAGGAATGGCTGTTGTAAAGGTAACTGGAGCGAAAGAACGTGAGACGGCACCTTCTCCCTTGCCAACCTGCCTGGTCACAGGGGTTGCACGTTCTTGGTGGTGGCACCTGGGTCTTTGGACCAATAGGTGTGCGCATGGAGCAGCCCCTCTGGTGTGGCCACCCCATTCCCGTGGAACGCCCCCCCTCACCCTTCAGGCAGGCCCCAAAGCCATATCCTTGTTGGTGTGCCCCGAAAACACCCTTGATTCAGAAAGCCTTCCTGATCTAACCCGCCGCAATTGTATTGATTTTGCTTTTAGTCCAGTGTTGATTCTCCCCCGCGCCCCGATTTATATCCTGCCTTTTTCCTACAAGGGCTCAAGGCAGCTTACATCATTCTCCTCCTCCCTCTTATCCCCACAACAACAACCCTGTGAGGTAGGCTGGGCTGAGAGTCTGTGACCGGCCCAAAGTCACCCAGTGGGCTCCATGACCGAGCGGGGACTTGAACCCAGATCTCCTGAGTCCCAGTCCCGTGCTCTTAACCACGATACCACACTGGCTCTCTTGACTGTTTTATCTTGTCATCTTTCACTGCTCTGCATCCTCACTTCCAGAATATGGAGCAGTACGTAAACCTTGTGAAATACTTAAGAAAAAATGCCATTTAAACCGTAATCGTCACAGCTGCACTGTTTCTGTCCTTTCCTAGCGGCCTGATCGCTCTCAGCCACAACAACAGCTATTACCTGAAACCCCCAGCACACCCAGAGTCGGCAGCTCACACCATCTTCAGGGCGGAGCACTTGCCCATCAGAGGTGGGACCTGTGGACACGGTGACCCCCTGCAAAGCAGCGTGGCAGATGTCGCCAGATCCTTCGAAGCAGCGGTGCCCCGGCGGGTGAGTCTTTGGGTGCCGCTCAGGGGATCTAGGGTCTGAGGACTGGAAGTGAGGGACCCGAAAGGCTGGCCGGCCACTTGGAGGGTCCTCGTCTTCCAGGCCTCTGCTCCAGAGCCATCGGTGGAACCCAGTCGAAAGGGCGCTCCATCCGCGAAGGAAGGCAATACTGGAAAGGGGAAGCGAGAACACCGAGCGGAGAAGAGATAGGAAGCGAGATTCCGTGGGGTGAGGGGAACGGAAGGGCTGCAGAAAGGACACGTGGGTCCTCGATCGATGAACGACGCCACTGACCAGGAGCTGGTCTCGCATGCTTCCCATTGGGTGCAGTGGTCTGGCTGTGCTGAAGGCCGTGCCTCTGACCCGAACAGCCCAGGGCTACAGGTGGACAGCTTGAGTGCTCCCTTCCTTCGCTGCTCTCCATCTTGCGCTGGGCATGGCGTCGCGATGCTCCTTCCCCACTGCGAAAAGGAGAGGTGGTGAGCCTTCCGTCCACATATTCCTGGTTCAAAGCTGGTGGTAGAACATGGCCGGAATCCAAGCCTGGGGCTGCTTCTTGGCTCCTCCAGGGTTAGATTGCCCTCCTTCTATCTGGTCCTGACCGGTTGCTTAAGTTGGGTCGCTCTTTCTGGACCTCTGTGCTGGTTTGCTCCTGCCTTTTTCCGGTGATGTTAAGCAATTTGCCTTACAGAAAAGGAGGGATGCCTGGAGAACCCTGAAATACATGGAGCTCTTCATCGTTGCAGACTACACCCTGGTGAGAATTTCTCCCCTTTTGCTTTAGCCTGAGGGGACAGAGAGCTTTTCCTCTGAAGCCTCCGTGAACTGAGATGCAAACGGAAGAGAGGAGACTGGCTTTGCAGTACGGCTGTTTGAGGACAGATAAGGGACAAGAACCCATGTTGCATTCACCATGGGAAGAGTACTAAATCGAGGAGCGGAATCGAGGAGCAGAATGAAACCATTACTACTATAGAACATAATGAACATGCTTGCCTTCGTATTCACAAAAGACCCAGGCTAAAATGAAACCTGTCTGCCTCCAGCTGGTTGCTAGGCCAACATTTTCTCATTTGCACCCAAGGCTTCTTGGGCATCCAGAACGGTCCTCTGAATGACCCCAGCGACTGTGTCTTCTGCCTGCTTCCATAATGCCAGGAACAAATGAACGGATGTGTCTTAATCTGGCACAATCCCCGAAATTGCTATTCCAGCATATGTACATTCGTATAGATCATCACTGGAGATAATTTATTTCAAGACACACCTAACAAAGTGTGTTGTTGTTGTTGTTGTTGTTTGTGATCAAGTGATGCATCACTCAGTGTGCTTCCTGTCCAATGTTTTCCCTCCTTTTTCTCTTCCTCTCTCTTTTCCCCAGTTTACAACCCAAAACAATGATTTGGGGCGCACGAAGCAGCGGATCCTGGAGATCGCTAATTATGTAGACAAGGTATTTACTGGGTGTCTTGAGATTAAAGGGGATTGACAAATGATCCATAGCTGGCTGTGTTCAGTGGCAATTCTGGAAGGCTTATAGATTCCTGGACGTCTCCACAGGTCCAGCAGGAAAGTGTGGCGTAAGGCCTTGCTGAAGGGCAGCCCAGTGCCCTGCAGTTGGTCTGGACTACGACTCCCATGGGACCCAGCCAGCATGGCCAGTGGTCAGGGGTTATGGAACTTGTAGTCCAAAATATCTGAAGTTGCCAACTGCAGCTTTTGGGCGCATGCATATGATGTCATTATACAGTTTTGGAGGAAGGTTCCCCTTGCTTTTATTTTCCCCCCAGGAGAGCATGCCAGCTTGAAACCGGGGGGGGGGGGGTCACACTGTCGATGGTGTCTTTGCCCCCCACCTTTCAGACTCAGAGCTCCAGGAGAGGAGATGGACATGTCTTAACTCTGCAAAGACGCCTGTTGAGACAGAGAAAGGGGTCTGTACTTCAGCCAACTGTTCCAGGCCTTTTTTTCTGCCTAAACACACATAGAATTGTGCCCGAAATAATCCAGAGAACACTCATAGGCAAATCAAATAATTTCTCTTCATTGCCCTACTGTGAATTTACAGAGCTGGAGTATATATTGGCCGAGATCTTGGTATCAGCAGAGATGCATAAGAGTCTCCTCCTTCGGGGTCCCTTCCCCAGTTTTACAGGTCCCTGAACATCAAGGTGGCCCTGATTGGTCTTGAAGTGTGGACCAAGGCGGACCAGTGTGCCGTGAGCAGCGATGCCCACGCCACCCTCGTGTCTTTCCTGCAGTGGAAAAAGTCCCTGAAGTCTCGGAAGAAGCACGACAACGCTCAGCTCCTGACGTGAGTCTTTCCAGCACCAGCAGCAAACTCGGTTGCAATCCGCTGTTCTTGGCAGAAGAACTGGGAAGGAACTGTCCCTTGCAGGCAGGCGGGAGGCCCTGGCTCCGTCCTTGGCATATCCAGGTGGAAAAGGCCCAGGTGGCAGGTGCTGGGAAGGATCCTCTTGGCCTGAGGCCCTGCAAAGATTCAATAGACGACTGCTGATTGGACGGGCGCATCGTCCGGCCATCTGATTATGTGGTCTTGACTGAATATAATCAATGAAGCAGCGTGGCTGTAAGCAAAACGCATTTATGCCAGGCCCCTGACTTGCAAGCCTCCGGGACGCCCACAAAGCCCTGGGAGCGTGGGGCAGGGAAATCAGGCCTTGCTCCTGCAAAACCCTCCGAGGGCCATGGGAGCGGCGCTGGAGTTGGATGAGCGGGCTGGGAACCCTCAGCCGCGATGCCGTGGCCCCTGACTCAGAGGGGCAGTCGGGGGCCAACCAGCTCTAGTGGCCACGAGGAGCGTGTTAATGGAAAACAGAAACAGAGCAAACCAGAAGGGGTCCCCCGGTCATCTAGTCTGACCCCCGGGGAAGAAAGGAGAATCCCGCAAAGAATCCCAAAGCAGAGGTCGCATGGGCAGCTGAAAAGCCCGTCCTCGCCCCGTCTTGCAAAGCGGTATCTAGACTTCTGCTGCTCACTGGGTGCAACAAAGCGCCCGGCTGAAATCGGCTCTTCGTGGCCTTATTTATAGGAATAAGAGAGGTGGCTGCAAAGGGCACGGGGTGCAGAATCTCTGGATGGGGATGCGGAGGCCGGAACCCCCAAATACTTTATGAAACGTGCCCCGCCTTCTCCTGCTTAGTCACTTTTTCGGGGAGAAGGGTTCTGCTGCAGGTCCACATGCTCCGGCATCGTGAATGTTCTCAGGCTAGCACAGGCATGGCTGGGATGCTGTCCAGACGTGCACAAACCCTCTCTCCTCTCCTCTCCTCTCCTCTCCTCTCCTCTCCTCTCGCCCCTCCGGCCGCAGTGGCGTGACCTTCAAGGGGACGACCATCGGCATGGCCCCACTGGAGGGCATGTGCAGTGCGGAAAACTCTGGCGGTGTGAGCATGGTAAGGAGGGTGTGCCCACCGTCTCTCTTCCCGAGTCTGCGTTCTGCTTCCAGGAGCATTTCCTCAGCTGTGCGGCACGGCTGATTCCTGCACTCACGGCATGGGTCATTCTGTGGCGAGGCTCACGGGGCCCTGTCGTGGCTGTTGCCCGCCAGGCCCCGGATGCGGAGTTCCCATTCCCCAACGGAGGCAGGGGAGCTCTTTGCCCCACTGCTTTGATTTTCTGGGTCTAAGACCCCGGCGTCTATGCTGGCTTCTAACTCAGGGTGGCCCCTTCATTTTGAGGCTGCGGAATGCAGACCTGGCTCAGAGCTAGGCCAGAAACATGGTCCGTGGGCCTCTGGAGCAAACCCCCTCCTGGCATCCCAAGCTGATGAGGTTTCCTTGCTCCCCGCCTCTCTTCCAGGACCACTCGGAGCTGCCCATTGGCGCTGCCGCCACCATGGCCCACGAAATCGGCCACAACTTTGGCATGAGCCACGACAGCGAGGGCTGCTGCGTCGAAGCCACGGCGTCTCAGGGCGGCTGTGTCATGGCCGCTGCCACGGGGTAAGGTGCAACGCGCTGCTTTGCAGGGCAGCTCCGGGGAGAGCTTGTGGGTGCCGGAGAGGCTGAGTGTCCTTGTACGAGATGGATCCAGAGGCCAAAAACACGGCCGCTGTGACTCTCGTGTGGTCTGATGAGCAGAAACCTGTCTCAGTGCCGGTCCTTAAGCCGGAGATGCACAGAATTCCATCCAGGCAGCCTCTCTGTGAATATTTATTTATTTATACAATTTGTATGCCGTCCAATTACTAACGTCTCTGGATGGCAAACGGCATCAATAAATTGATGACCCGCTCTGGCTGCAAATACAATAATAAAATTCAATATTAAAAATATTAAAATATTGATTAAATAAAAAGGTCTTGACCTGGCACCGAAAAACGTATGACAGCGCCAGGCGGACCTCTCTGGGGAGCGCATTCCACAGTCGGGGCACCACCGCAGAGAAGGCCCTCCTCCGGTACTCGCCCTCCTTATGTCCTTCGCGGAGGGTTCCCGGAGGAGGGCTTCTGCTGCCGATCTCGGGGCCGGGGGGGGGGGGCAAATAGGGAAGAAGGCGTTCCTTAAGGTGTCCTGGTCCCAAAAATATAAATGATTTTGCCTAAAACTCGCTGCCGCCCTTCGCTACGTTCTCGTTACTGCAACTGGCTCTCCACAGTGTTGTGCTTTGGGCTTTCCTACAAGGCATTCACGGTGGGCCTGTGGTTCCCTACACCGTTGTTCACGGGCTCTTTAGATCACGGGGTGATCCCTCCAATTTCACGTCTGTCTTGCCAAGCACTTTCCTCTCCGCGTGTGCTTAGAACAGGGAAAGCGGCACCGTTAAGCCCTGCCGCTTCTCCTGGCATAGTTTGGCTCTTCTGCTCCCCTAGAAGTAGCGTAGCTGCAGAGCAGGAACGGAAACGCTCCCAGCAGGGCAGAAAAGCTGAATGTAGACGCAGAGGTGGGCGGCTGAATAGGCGCCCCATGTGAAGAGGCCTGGGTCCTGGGTTTTGTTCCGCTCGGGATACCCGGGGCTCTTTGGAGACCTTCACATTCCAGCGCTTTGCATTGAAGAGGGATGGAGTGAAACAGAACCTCCCGTTGCTAAAGATATCTACTTCTGAATAGCAAATGCTGGGGTCAGATGTCACGACCAGGCTGTCCCTTTTATGCCCTGCTTCCAGCTTTCCCAGATTCATCAGGCTGGCCACTGCTGGGCACTGGATGCTGGGTGGTGTGGTTGGGCGAGGCTGCTGGTTGTGAGCAAAAACAGAGTTGAGATGCACTGAATGCCTCATGTCTGAGATCGACTGATTTCTTCTTTGAGGTGTGAACCGAAAAGCCACCTTGTTGCCTCCGTCCCAGTGGACTAGACGCTGAAAGAAACCTAGCACTGGGAGCTCAAGTGGAGAGCCAGTTTGCATAGTGGTTAGAGTGCCAGAGATTAGGGATGGACTCGGCACCCCTCCTAGAGGTCTTGGGTCAGTGACTCTTCCAGCCCAAGTTCCGGCAGAGATCTTGGGTGGAATACGAAGTGCAGCAGGGCCAGGAGGGAAAATCCAGGGAGCGACAGACCCTGCTTGTGTTCAGGCCTGCTAGTACGGGAGCAGGAAGGGGCAAGGGGATCCAAGAGCACGAACGTTCAGCCGGCGTCCGTTGCCTGGTGCTCGCTGGCATTTTGGGGGCCTGGTGGCGTGGCCACAACCCCTGTGCTTGCTGCCGCATCTCCCTTTCACCGGTGCGCTTGTGCAGGCCCTCCGGAACATGCCACCGAACAGAAATTTTGCACACTCTGTTTGTGTACCAGGCAAACATGCAGAATTTGTGTGGTGTCGTGGCAAAAAGTGTGGGCCTGGGACTCCGGCGATCCAGGTCCTAGTCCCTGCTCAGCCATGGAGACCGGTGGGTGGCTCTGGGCCAGGCACAGACTCTCAGCCCAGCCTACCTCACAGGGTTGTTGTTGTTGTGAGGATAAGGTGGAGAGAGGGAGGAGAACTATCTCAGTCACCTTGAGTCCTTTGAAAGGAAAAATGGTGGGAAATAAATATAATCAGTCATTCAGGACATACATAGATAAATTTGCTGATTCAGGATATTCATTTTCTTCCTGGAAATTAGGGGCAGAGACTAGGAGGAAAGCATGGCACGGACCAATGAAACTCAGCATAGCTCCTGATGGATTCTTACCTTGCTTAGAGTCTGTTCCTGTATTTTCAAGGACCTTTAAGGACTAGAATCTTGCTTTGCTTCAGGTTTTGTTTTGCCTTGTTTTGTTTTTAAGAACATTGATTTCAGAACGCTGCAGCAAAGAGCAATCGCTGTCTTGATGTAAATGCAGGATAAACTCCGCTCTGACCTTATGGTCTTCCTGGACGGGCTTCTCCTTCTGAAGGACACAAACATCCCTGCACTTGGTTTTAAAGGAGCCAAGCAAAACTGCCGGTTGGGCCCCAAATCACCTTCACTTCCAAACCAGTCCCTGGTGCAAATGCCTTGGCTTGGTATTTTGGTTCAGAGAGTGAGAATCCTTCCTCCTCTTTCTCTGACTCCTGCTTTCCCTCCCGCCGCCCCCGGTTTCCAGCCCATGTAACACAGAACCCTGGGGGAAAGCATTAGCAGCTGTAAATAAAAGCCAGCTTTCTTGGAGCTGCAAGGACGCCAAGATGGAGGCAGATGCACAGTAGCATGGAGAAATTGTTACAAGAAAGGCATGGAAGGAAAAGCAAGAAGGGAAAAGGAAGCAGGATGAATGCATTTGCTGTATGCATTTGTCTATACCATTTCTATACGGCTCCATTCTCAAGGAATTCTGGAGCAGAGAGCAATTAAAAAGAAGACCAAAAATAAAATAAAAGAAAAGAAAAGAACCACAGTGCAATTTGGCTTTTAAAAACAAAGTACCAATAAAACCCATGGCTGGTCCATCAAGGAAGGCTTCCAGAAATTATGTATTTATTCGTTCATTTTTTAAGGTTTATATCTCGCTTTTTTCTTCTAACAAACTCAAAGCAGCTTACACCGTTCTCCTCCTGATGGTCCCAGTCTTATCCCCACAACAATAAAGATGTTTTTGAGCGATCCAGAGGCAGGGACTTCCAGAGAAAGGAAGCTGCCATGCTGAAGGTTTTTCTCCAGGTAGACTCCAGGTGGGCCAGAGGTCCCCCTGGAACCACCAGAGACTTGTCCTCCAGTGACCTCGGTTACCTGGTCCCAAGTTGTTGTGGGCTGCACACTATTAGCAGGACCTGACCCCCGGCCTGCGGGGGAATAGGCAGGTCTCTCAGCAGAGGAGCTGCTTGCCAGCGCATGGGCGGAAGAGCGTCGTTTAGCTGGCTTTTAAAAGCAAGGTATTTGCAGGCTGAGAATGTGGCCAAGCGCCTGCGTCTGTGCAGTGCATCGGCAGGAGGCTGCGGGAACAGTGCTGCTTTTCTTCCAGCTTGAGGCTTTAGGCAGGGGAAGTGTGTGTGTGTGTGTGTGTGTGTGTGTGTGTTGTGTGAGGGATGGTGGGTGGGCACGTTCCGTTTTCCAGCAGCAGGATCGGAAATGCACAAAAGAGCCGTTGGCAAGGGGAAAGAAAGCTAAGAAGGAGGTGTGTTTGTGTTCCAAGAAGTGTCAAGCAAATACAGTGGGTGGAAGGCAATTGTTCCGAGAATGGTTGCAGGACTGTGAAGGGCTGGATGAGCCAATGGTTAGCGTGGCCAGCAGTGGAGGGCCACGAAGAGGACAAAAGAGAATGCCCACTCATGCCCGGTGCCGTCTGCCGTCTGTTGATGGGCATGTTTAGGTTGGGTCTTCCTTTTTAGAGTTCCTTATTTTCCAACTGGAATCGGACAGGAGAGCCGAACTGGAATTCCAGACTGGAATCGGACGGGAGAGCCCTTCAGCTGCAGGAGGCATTCAGAGGAGAGGGCAGCCCTTTCAATAAAGGCCCGTGTCTGTAAATGTGGGTGCCCCCGCCCCCCAATACGTGGCAGCTTTGTACGCAATGCATCCGACAGCTCTGCAGCGGAGCAGAGCTTCCTTCCGGCGGGTTCAGTGCCCGGGCTGGGGAAGGCCTCCCCCCGGCTGAGACTGGTGCAGCCAGGGGAGGACCTTGAGGCGAAACCCCGGCCCCCGCAGCCTGGTGGGCCTCCAGGTGACTGCACCGGAAGTGGCAAGCCAGGGCGGCGGCGGCAGGCAGGTCCAGCGCTGGGTCCCGAGCTGGTCTCCACAGCAACCTTTCCTTTTGTAAGCCGTCCTGAGGCTTTTGCAAAGGACGGCATATAAATATCCTAAATAAATAAATAAATATTATTTTAAGAAAAGCATTAATGGACAGGCGGCATGGTCCTGGGCATGGCTGCAGAGGCTCTTTTTAAAGATTTTTCCTTAGAAACGTTATTTTCTACGACAAAACCATGCTGCTTCCAGGGCAACAGAAACAAACGGCCTTTAATTTCTGCAGAGCTCAGAATGAGCTCAGAATGTGAAACTGGACTGGCTGGGCAGATATATTTTGATCAGCACGTGGCAAACGTCGGTTTCGCTTTTTGGACCTTGTGCTAAAGTCTGAGGGGTGTGGGGGGAGGGGGAGGGGAAGAGGTGCTTCCCAGTGAAGCGATTGCAACGACCATTTAAAGACCCCCAACTCCCCCGTAAGACCATTAAGCCCGTGGCCTGGAGCAGGGGAGGCAAACGTCGGGACTGTTGGCACAGCTGGAAAGGTGAGAAACCCTCCTGGGCGCCACCACAAAATGGCTGCTGCGGGAAGTTTGGCAATGCAGCAGCGACTTGCCCAGAGGAGCCGCTACAAGGCTGGAGGCCCGACACACTAAAGAACGCGGTGGGACCCTCCGTTTTCCACACTAATGGAAACTTATTTCACAGCAGTTTTTTAAAAAGTGGGGGAAGGAGGCTTTGATGGGCCCCACGTGAAGTCTCCGGGGGGGTCGGGGTCCACGGGGGCCTTGCCGCCTGCCCCGATCATGCTGCACAGAGCCACACGGGTGCCACAACTCCAGAGGTTCAGGCTGAGCCATCGGGCGGCCGCTCTCTAGCCGGCGATGTTCCACTTCAGCGTTCTTCAGAATGGCGATCTAACGAGCAAGGTTCTCACGCTACTCAGATAAGATACAAAAGGCACGATTGCAGGAAATTGCTGCTCCTAATGCAGAACAGAGATTCAGTCCCCCAGCAAATGAGTATCTGGGTAATTATTTTGTTCTCTGGAGATCGGTCTGCGGGCTGGAAGCGAGCACTGCCGGGCCACCTGGATTCTATTACGAGTGGCCAGACTCCGTAATATTAATGGGGCTTCCCAGCTGTGCTCCCCGGCAGAACATTACACAAAAACATACTGCACACGCCCAACTCGATCTGTCACATTCACATCCAAAATACAAAGCAGGGATGCGGCCTGACAGCGTGAAAGTGTTTCGTTCCCATGCGAGGATGGGGGAACATCGTGCCGAGGCTTTGTCCAATTTAGGAAGGGCCGCCTAGATCCAAACAGAGCTGCTTGGGGGCTCTGCGGTGTGCCCAGAATCGCAGCGCGTGTCCAGACTTGGACGCCAGAGCAGCACAGGACAGACGGGCGGAAAAGCTGGCTGGGGCAGGCCAGGAGGGGATGGTCATGCGTTTGACTGAGATAGGAGCCTAGCCAGACAAATGCAGGATGGCTTAAAAGGTCTGGGAATCCCCGTGGTGCTTGGGGGCTCCGTCTGCAGCATCGCGGGCGTGCCAGCTCTACCTAACCCACTTCAGACCTTGCCATTGGCTTAAACTCAAATAGAACTCTTGGTGCTTGGAAGACCCTCTCTCAGGACGGTTCACAGTGGCACCGAAAGCTCTGCTTGCTTGCCCAGAGATGTAGGGCTTGGCCCTGACTCTCGGCCCCTTTCCGGCCCTGAGGCGTGCCTGCACTTGCCTAGGGCTCTGCACGGGAGCTCTTCGTGATGCGGCCACGTTGCTCTGTCTGCCTGGATGGTGCATCTCAAGGTGGGACACCGCAGCCGTGTGCTCAAAGGCCCATTGGCTGCAGCCGTTCGTGCTGAGAACCATTCGCTACTCAAAGGCCTGTTGGCTGCAGCCGTTTCTGCTCTGGGAACCAAGGTCAAGGGGGATCCAGTTTCAGCTTGGCTTCACCCCCCTTGTATGTTCCAGTGAAGCATTCTAGACCACGTCCGAACGCGGCTCCCCCAGGGAAAGAAGAGCAGGGCCGAGGGGGCTGCAGCCAGGGCTTCCCAGAAAAGGTGGGCTTTGAGCAGGGGCTTGAAGGAGGCCCCCTGCAGCACGCAGGGACTCGCAGGCTGCTCCCGGGCCCTGTCCACAGCCAGCTGGAGACGTCTGGACGGATGCGGGTGGGGGAGCTGGTGGAACAACGTTGGCGAGCGGGACCAGAAGTGCAGGGCGACAGGCAGCGAAATTGCCATGGTGGTGCTGCAGCTTTTCGGGCAGACGTGCAACCGGCGGCCTGGCCGGAGGTGTGGCTGCATCTTTTCCCGCCCCTCCGGTGTCCCCCCTTGACGCCTCTCCGTGCTTTGTCCGCAGCCACCCTTTCCCCAAGGTGTTCAGCTCCTGCAGCCGGAGGCAACTCGACGGCTACTTCCAGAGGGGTGGCGGGATGTGCCTCTTCAACATGCCCAACACCAAGGACCTGGTGGTGGGCAAGAAGTGTGGCAATGGCTTCCTGGAGGACGGGGAAGAGTGTGACTGCGGCGAGGTGGAGGTAGGTGTAGGTGTGTTTTCCTCTGGTTGGATAGTCCATTCATTCATTCATTCATTCATTCATTCATTCATTCATTCAAAGGTTTTCTATCCCATCCCATTACTAAAAAAGTCTCCGGGTGGCTTACAAGGAACAAAAAACCAAAGAACAAAAGCCACAACAGCAACAATGCGCAGCACACTGCATCTAAAGATAGTGATAAAAACAAGGATAAAACCAGTTAATTGTTAAAATACCGGGAAAATAAAAAGGTCTTTGCTTAATGCCGAAAAGAATAGAGCTTCAGCACCAGGCGAACCTCCCTGGGGAGCGTGTTCCACAGTCAGGGCGCCACCACCGAAAAGGCCCTTCCCTGGGCAGCCACCCTCCCGATTTCCTTCAAGGAGGGCTCCCGGAGGAGGGCCTCTGCCTCCGCTCTCAAGGGCTGGGCCGGCACATAGGGGTGAAGGCGCTCCTTCAGTATCCCGGGCCCAAGCCGTCTAGGGCCTTATAGGTCATTACGAGCACCTTAACTTGGGCCTGGACTTCAGTTGGCAGCCAGTGTAAGCGATATAGGGCCGGCGTGATATGGGAGTATCTGCTGGTCCCCGGTAGTAACCTGGTGGCTCTGTTCTGGACCAACTGAAGTATCCGGACCGTCTTCAAGGCAGCCCCATGTGGAGCACATTGCAATAGTCCATTGCAATTGGATTTCAGGAAGGAGGCTCAGGGTCAAGAGCGTCAGCCAGTTAAGCCCTGTCTCTGGAGATTCAGACCCTCTCGCAGAAGGAAGAGGCTGGAAAGTAGACCTTCCAAGTGCTGGTTCTCTTCTATTCAGCACTTGTTCAGCCCTGTCTGAAATACGGTGCCCAGTTCTGGGCCTGACATGTTCAGAAAGATGCAGACAAGCTGGGAAAGGTTCAGGGGAGGGCTGCAAGGAGGGTCCTGGGACTGGAAGCAAAGCCCTGTGAGGAGAGATGGAAAGGACAGAGCATGCTCAGCCCTGGGAGAGGAAGCCTGAGGGGAGATAAAAGAGTGCCTTACACGTGCTCGACCGGTTGCCATGGAGAGGAAAGTCTGGATCCCTTCTCAGTCACTGCAGAGTGCTCAGGTTCTTTGTGGCCTCTGTGCATCACACAGATGGCTTCCAGGAAGCCAGGTTCCAGCTGGACATCAGGAAAACTTCCTGACTGTTAGGACAGCCATGGAAGCCCTGACCTGGGGAGGTTTGGGCTCTCCCACACTGGGGACATTCAGGATGCAGCTGGACAGCCACCTGAGAGGGTTTGCTGAACTGGGAGTCCTGGCCCGAGCAGCAGGCTGGACTTAATGGCCCTCTGGCCCCTTCCAACTCCACTATTCTGTGATTCTATGGTGGCTTCCAAATATTTTAAATTGCAACCATTTATTTTCCCATTGTTTTAATGCTTAAAAGGTTTTAATGTGGGTTTTATTTACTGGAAGTATTGGATGCTACGCTCTATTTCATTTCATTGTGTTGCTTTTATTGTAAAACCATCCCGAGGTGCTTGTAGTGGACGGTATATAAAAGCTTTAAATGCATGCATGCATGCATGCATACATGTCCATTGGCCATGCTGGCTGGGGTTGATAGGAGTTGTAGTCCAGAATGTTTAAGAAAGGGTTTGGAGGAGGGCAGCAAGGGGACTGGAAACAAAGCCCCGTGAGGAGAGATTGAAAGAACCTGGGTGTGCTTAGCCTCCAGGAGAGAAGACTGAAGGCCGCCAGAAAGGAGAGCCAGGAGCTCTTCTCCATCCTCCAAGGGTGCCGGGCACAGAATAACGGGCTCAAGTTACCGGAAGGCAGCTTCCGGCTGCAAATCAGCAACAATTTCCTAACTATTGGAGCGTTACGCCAATGGGACCAAGGAGCCATTCTGTGCATGCTCAGAGAATGCAGCACGTTTGCGAAGAGTGGGCCAGTGCTGTGCGTGCGTGAAGGGGGAACCCCGCTTTCAACGGTTCGTGCACGGTCTCTCCCACTCCGATGCACAGCACAGCGGCTCAGCCCCGCAGACCTTCACACTCTGCTCCCAGACCTCACGCAGAGGGACCCTGCGGGGTCCGGGGGCAGGGCTACCTGGGAGAGCAGCCCCCCAGGTTGGGACGCCCTCCCCAGAGCGGTTTGCCTGGTGCCTGAAACGCTGTTCGTTTGGAGCCAGGGAAAGCCCCGATTCTTCCCCAGGGGATGCTTAGATGCCACGGGCCAGTTAATGCTATTTTTGTACCATTTACGGCCTGCAGCTGGTTTCACTTGAGTGCTTTATGCTTTTTGTAAACCTCACTGGGAAGACGATCGAAGGGCGGTGTAAGGATGTCTTTCAGCCTGGCAGAAATCATTCCCATCTGCTTCGGCCCGATCTGTTCACCCTGCGCTGCTCTCCCAGGCACCCAGCTGGGCCCTGGCACACCTCACCAGGTGCCGCACCGGGTCTGCCGGGAACCACCTGCTCCTCCCAGTCTGCACCCCCCATCGGTCGCCATCTCAGGCAGTGGCACAGGGGTCCGTGTCCACAAGCAGGCACTTCTCGTGGCAGTTCCGTCAGCCGCACGCCCGCGTCACGCACCCCGAAGTGCAGGCGACCATGTGGATCCGTGGCAGCTTCACCTCCTCCAGGATCGGGCCTTTTGTGAAGCTAGCAAGACTTAGGACACTCCCGAGAGCAAAGCCCTGCAAAAGACTCTGCATCGCAACAGGGAGCAAGGAATTCCTGCCAGGGAAATTCCCCTCAGAGGGAGCAAGGGATTCTGGGGAGGGGGCCAGGTGGGGGCGGCATTCCTGCTAGGAAAACCGTGCCGCTGCTCCATTCCTGTGGACGCGTATTTATGTATTTATTTAAAACTTTTCTATACCGTCCCTTCACAGATGTCTCAGGACGATTTGCAACAGATTAATAAAACAGAATAAAAATCGAAGTAAGAGTAGGAGTGGCACAGCATCCGATGTTAAATATAAAACCACCAATTAAAACAGATTAACCATTGAAATATTGGGAGAATAAAAACTACACCGTTGGCCTTGGGAGACTGGACAACTCTCCCTCCATCCCTCCTCTCTTAACTTTCTCTGTTTGAGCCAAAGGAGCAGAAAAAGAGGGGCAGGAAGGACGGACGGACAGAAGGAAGGAAGGAGGGAGGGAGGGAGGGAGGAGAGGTTGCCTGTGATGTGCAACAGAACTTGGAGAGGAGTGATGACGCGCGGTCTGTCCCCCCCTCCCCGCTTGCCCCCTTCTCAGGAGTGCCGGAGCCCCTGCTGCAATGCGCACAACTGCACGCTGAAGGCGGGAGCCCAGTGCGCGCACGGAGACTGCTGTGAGGACTGCAAGGTAACCGGTCCTCTGGTGGCCTGGGCCGTGCGGAGGGAGCGCCTGCCTGTGCGCACGCACGCACAGCGCTCTGCCATCCCTGCTCCCGTCCGCACGCGCGCTTTCTGGGCCCCGGGTTGTCCGAGGCTCAGGCTGCCCGGAGTCCGGCGGCCCTGGGCACCCCGTGCCTCTCGCTGCCTGCCTCTCTTGTCCCGTGGGCATGGCGCTTCCCCGTCGTGCATCCTGGGGGCCGGCCCCGCGTGGGGACAGGTGCCACCGAGGCAGGTGGAGCAGCATGCACCTCCCCTTAAGAACACGCGTGTTTGGCACGGACCTGTTGCTCGTGGGAGCCGGCAAGCCACCTCCTGCTTGGAGTGACCCACGAAGGAACGAGCGCCCCCAAACGGCCCATCCTCCGTGGCCTCGTCAGGGCCTGCACATTCACGGCCGTGGCCCCCCTTTGGGGGCCCCTCCAGCTCACGGCGGGTCTTCCTCCTCTTCTTCTGCCTTCGACTTTCCCTGCATGATTGTCTCCTCCAAGAGTTTTGCCTCCTCAGGATGTATCTGAAGTAGGACAGCCTCACTTTCGCCGTCTAGACCCACATGCACTTTGGACACCCCCCCCCCCCGCACGGTCCTCGGTCCATCCACTATTGGCAGCACCGATGGGCAGCAGCGGCTCTCCAGCACTGCGGGCAGAAATTTCTCCTAGCCCTCCCTGCCAGGGGTTGAAACAGAGCCCTTTGGTGTGCAAAGCACGGGCTTTTCCAGTGAGCGTGAGGCCCTTCCCCTGCAAGTCCCAATAAACCACAATGATTCTAGTCCTCGTGGTTGAGAGCAAAGGGCTGACTGAAGGAGAAACGCTGGAAGCCGCTGCACACGAGGTCAGAGCCTTGGTCCGTCTCGGCCAGGGCAGTTGACACTGACGGGCAGCCCCCGCACGCAGGGCGAGTCCTCTGCCTCGGAGCCGCAGCCCTCCTTGCCACCGGCATCCCTGCAGCAAGACGCCCGGGCGCACGGCGTTGCCGCTTTCCTCCGCACCTCGGCAGGGATGGGCCGGAGCAGCGCGGCTCGCGGCACGCGGGTTCGTCTTCCTTGTCCTTCGGCGCCCCAGCCCGGACTGAGAGGCCTCTGCGTTTTTCTCCTTCTTGCGCCATCCGCAGCTCAAGGAGGCCGGGGCCATGTGCCGAGAGCCCGCGGGCACCTGTGACCTGCCCGAGTACTGCACGGGGGCTTCGCCGTACTGCCCCACCAACGTGTACCTGCTGGACGGGTCGCCCTGCGCCCACGGGGAGGCGTACTGCTACAACGGCATGTGCATGACGCACCACCAGCAATGCATCCATCTGTGGGGGCCAGGTGAGACTCACCTCCCTCCCTCCCTCCCTCCCGCCTGCAGGGCCTGGCCCAGCCCTCTGTGCAAGAGGTGGCGTGTGGCTTGGGTCCTGAGAGCGCCCAGAGCCAGGGGAAAGAGCTCCCGCCCTGCCCTCCTGCGGCTGTGCCTCTGAAGCGCTTCATGCAGGGGCCGTCAACAGAGCAGGCCCTCTCGGCCCGCCCGCCCGCAGGCCGGCCGTCTGGCTCTGCAGCAGCCACCCCAGTGGGAGCCCTCCAGGTGCGTTGGGCCCAGCAGCAGGGAGCGTTAGTCGAGCGGTCTGGAGGGAGCTGCGGGGAGCGGCCTCCCCGGCTGGCTCTGCCTGGAGATGCCGGGCTCGCATGGGGCTTCTCCACTCTGCGGTACATTGCGGCTTTCCCCGCCACGTGCCCACTGTTCCCCTGCTTCTGCTGGAGCTCTCGCATTTTGGAAGACTGGCATTGTTCCTCTCGCAGCATCCCATGAGCTTCTCCTTCCCAGCGGGGCCGAGCGCTAGGGCTGGGGAACCGAGCCAGTGGCTCCCTGGGATGAGAGCCCGGCTCGTGTCCCAAGGGGAGGTCAGCCTCCGACGGCCCGTGAGGGGCTGTCCCTAACTGGAGAGCTGCCTCTCTGGGGACGGTTCCCATGGAAGAGAAGCAGGGGGATTTTGGCGGGGGGGGGGGTGCTGGCCACATGAGGTCTCCAGTTCTGGTTGGCCCAGCCACGAGGAGCCCGGCCGCCGACCAGAGAGCCCCTCCCCGAGTCCCCGGCCTTGGCCACGCAAGAGGATTGCGCTGTGTGCGGAGAGTCGGGCGGGCAGTGCCTGCGCCAGGCATTCGAGGGCCCCTTGGCCAGGCTCGCTTTCCGGCTGTGGCTGCTCCGGGCCCGCTCCCTCCTTCCCGGCACGGCCAAACAGGCGGCGGCGGCAGCGTCTCCTGTGCCTTCGACCACTCGCCACCTGCGAGGTGGTCCAGGCTGGGGCGTGAGGCCGGTGGACGGCCGGCTGCCCTTCCCTCCAACCCCCTGCTGCCTCTCTGCTCCAGGTGCCTCGCCGGCTCCCGACGCCTGCTTTGAGGATGTCAACAGGGCCGGAGACATGTACGGCAACTGCGGCAGGGACCGGCACGGCCAATACGTGAAGTGCGCCCGGAGGTGGGTGTGGAGCTCTTTCCCAAGAATGGGGCCCTCTGGACGTGCCTGTGATCCCAGCAGATGGTTTGGGCCACGACTCCCCGCTGTGCCGGCTGAGGTGTTCTGGGAGCTGTGGTCCAAACCATCTGGAGGACATCAGGATGGGGACAGCTGTCCTGGAAAAGACAGACAGGTCCTCTCCTGGCACAGGCACGAGAGTGCTGGAAGTGGGCGTCTCCCCGAGTCTGAGGACCTGAGCGTGCTCCAGAGAGGAGACCCCACCCTCCAGAAGGCCCCTCTCTGCTTGCCCCCGGCTCTGATGACGGGGCGCCTGGGAGGGGCTCCAAAGCAGAGAATATTCTGCAGGCAAGCCCTTAGTGGAGGGTCTTAGAGGCAAACTCCATCCTTGGAACGGTTTCTGGGGGAGGACCAGGAGCTGGTGCAGCTGTCTGAGCGTGGCAAGACGTGCTCACGCTGCTTGAGCTTGGTTAGCAGCTGGACAGCAGGTGCCTCGTGGGGCGAGGGGGGCAGAGGGTGAGCCGTGCAGCCCTGCAGAGCCCCCTTTCGCCTCTCCACAAGCACAGCCTCCACAATCAGTCCGTTCCGTGAACGACCGGGAATGGGGCTGGCTCCCTGTCGCGCTTCCCAGACTCCCTCCTCGGAGCATACAAGAGCGGCCTCTTCTGCAAGCAGCTTCTGGGTGATGTGGCTCATGCCCAGTGCCACTCGTGGCACACGATGGGAGAGGGCAGGCGGGGAGATGGCTCTTGCGTAGGACCAGCTTTTTGCCGGGCGACGGGCTGCAGGGGAGCGATTTCCAGGCAAGGACCGTGTGGCCTTCCTTGGCTTGGGGTCCGGACTCTGCGGGGAGTCACCTCAGCTGGCCCTCTGCAGCTCGTAGCTCGGGCAGGGCCGTCCCCGTGTGTGTGCGCAGCCTGGCAGGAAGCCGGGCCCCCGTGGCCTGCGGATCGCAGCTCAGCCCCGGTTCCCTCGTGCCTTCCAGAGATGCCAAATGTGGGAAGATCCAGTGCCACAGCTCCGCGATCAAACCGAAAGGGACCAACACCATCTCCATGGACACCACCATCCGGCTCAACGGGCGGGAGATCAAGTGCCGGGGGACGCTGGTGTACACCACCAAGGACGACTCGGGGGACATGGCCGACCCGGGCTTGGTGATGACGGGGACCAAGTGCAGCGAAGCGATGGTGAGCGCCCCTCTGAGCTGGCTTTGAACAAGGGCAAAGGCGTGGGAACATGTTTCTGGAGGGCACCATCTCATGAGGCCGTTTAAAGGGGGAACCGTGTGGTTCTGGGGGACCCAGAACTGTCTCTTGGCCCCCCTGTGCCAGCGGGGCTCTGGGCTGGAATGTGTGAGTGCGGGCACGGCACATGCCAAGGAGCCTGCCGGATGGCCCAGAATCCTCCTGGCCTGGGAAGGCCTGCCTGCTTGTCACCTGCCCACCCCGAAGGTACCTGCCCACCCTCACGCTGGAGGATCGAAGGGCTGCCCTGCAGCCGTTGGGAACCTGCAGTTGGATTTTGCACCGAGCAGCTGCGCTTTCATTGCACGGGGCCAGTGAGGTGCTGAGAAGGCGCCCGTGGCTCATGAGGCCTCAAGCAGGGGCTGGGCTGGCGGGGGGAGACCCAGCTCAGTGGTGGGGGGCCACTTTTCCATGCTGAGCATCCTGGTTCCACCCCCTGCGCCTCCAGAGGGGCCAGGAGAGACCCTGCCTGAAGTCGCGGAGAGCCACTGCTGCCAGTCAGTGCCGGCAGCACTGCCCTGAATGCATTCTGCGGGGCTGCATTCACACCCTGCTGTGCATCGCTGGATTATGGTGCCTGAGAGTGCCTGCCAGCCAGTGCTGGACACCCTCTCCTGGCTGCTGGAAAGCACCTGGTGGAGGAAAGCAGGTGCCCGTTTGTGTTCTGCTGGCACAGGGTGGGGGTGAGAGAAGGGAACTGGCGCTCTTTGCAGCAATGGACATGCCGTTCCGCCTCCGGTCCGTGCATGGATTCATTTATAAACCCAATTTTGTATTGCTTTGCAGATTATTACTTTTTGCAAACCTTTCTAATTTGCATTTATATATATTTGTTATACTGATACCTCACCATTTTTCCCTGCAAGCAAGCCAAGGTGGCTTGCATAACCTTCCTCTTCATTTTATCTTCAATGAAGAGAAAATCCCCTGAGCGAGGCTGTGCTGAGAGACGGCCACTGGCCCAGAGCCTCCTACGCGGGCATCATGGCCTACGAAACAGGGTCTCCCGAGTCCCCGGCCAGCACCAGCTGCACCATGCTGGCTTTCATTTATCTCTGGACTTACATTATCTCAAAATAAAATGCATCCTGGAAATAGACCCTAAAAGATGTTGTTGTTAGTCGCGAAGTCGTGTCCAACCCATTGCGACCCCATGGACAACACTCCTCCAGGCCTTCCTGTCCTCCACCATCCTCGGAGTCCACCCAAGCTCATGCCGGCTGCTTCAGTGACTCCATCCAGCCACCTCCTCCTCTGCCGCCCCCTCCTTCTTTTGCCATCTATTGTTCCCAGCATTAGGCTCTTCTCCAGGGAGTCCTTCCTTCTCATCAGGTGGCCAAAGTATTTGAGTTTCATCTTCAGCATCTGGCCTTTTAAAGAGCAGTCGGGATTGATCTCCTCTAGGACTGACCGGTTTGATCGCCTTGCGGTCCAAGGGACTCGCAGGAGTCTCCTCCAGCACCACAATTCAAAGGCCTCAGTCCTTTGGTGCTCAGCCTTCCTTAGGGTCCAGCTTTCACAGCCATACATTGCAAGTGGGAAAACCACAGCCTTGACTATACGCACTTTTGTTGGCAGGGTGATGTCTCTGCTTTTTAGTATGCTGTCGAGATTTGCCATAGCTTTCCTCCCCAGGAGCAAGCGTCTTTTAATTTCTTGGCTGCAGTCCCCGTCTGCAGTGATCTTGGAGCCCAGGGAAATAAAAGATGCACTGTTGCAAATTCTTAAAAGATGCACCTTTGCAAATTCCTGTGAAGAGAGAACGGTGTTGCCAGAAAGGTGAACGCCGAAGGCCATGGTATGCGGACCTGCACATGGGTCCGGAAGGTGCGGGTCAAGCCGTTCGCACCGACAAGCCACACGTTCCAAGTCCTCAGGTGCCCTGCCTGATCCAGGGGCCGTTTTACTTGCAGGTGTGCAAGGACCAGCGGTGCCAGAATGCCTCCTTTTTCGAGCTGGACAAGTGTGTCACCAAGTGCCACGAGCATGGGGTGAGTCCTTGCTTGTCTGCGGAACTGTGGATATACTTTTTATTTAAACGTCATTTTAATTGCTAATATTATTTATTTATTTTGCATCTTTGGCCAGGACGTCCTCAATTATATTGTTTTTATATTGTTATTATTGATTCATTGTTGTGAGCCGCCCCGAGGCTTTGGCGAATGGGGCGGCATAGAAGCTTCCTAAATAAATACATACATACATACATACTGTAAGAGGAATGGAGAGGCTGAAAAGGGCCCTCGAACTCATAGGAGTCCTGCTTATTCGGGGGAGGGCAGTCCTCCCATGGATGCAGGGGGCGCCCGCCATGGCGCCATGCACCCCAACCTTGGTGCGCAGCCCCTGCGAGTTCCTTTCCAGAGCGCAAGATGGAGCAACGTTTTTGAGCACCCCGTCTCATGCCATGCCCGGCGCTCTGGCCAGGGCTCAACATGGAACCCGAGAGCAAGGGCCCAACACGCCCAGTGGCTTTTATGTATTCATGTAAAACTTTTTTATGCCGGTCCATCACTGACGACTCGGCACGGTTCGCATTAGTAAAATAGAATAAAAACAGAAGTAAAAGAGTAACGCAGCATGTGAAAATCACAAATTAAGACAAATTAGCAGTTAAAATACTGGGAGAATAAAAAGGGTTTTGACTGATGCCGAAAGGAAAGAAGCATTGGCGCCAGGCGGACCTCTCTGGGAGCGTGTTCCACAGTCGGGGCGCCACCGCAGAGAAGGCCCTGCTCCGGGTAGCCACCCTCCTGATCTCTTTCAAGGACAGCTCCCGGAGGAGGGCCTCTGCCTCAGATCTCAAGGGGCGGGGGGCACAGAGGGGAGAAGGTGCTTCTCGAGACAAAGAGAACCGGGACATGGCTTCCTGCTCGAGACACAATTTCGAGTCTGAACTGCGTAAGTTGTGAATGGGGGGAGAGAGTGCAGGAGGTGCCCCTTCATTCCAGCCAGCGAAGATTTTCCTTCCGTGTTGCGAGTCCAAGGAACGAAGGGGCAAAGCCCAGTGTGACTGAGACAGACGTCGTGAGAATAGTTTTTGCTGGGCCAGGAAGCAATTCTGCCGGATCCGTTTTGTCTGCGTCGCAGGGTTTGTTTTTCCGTGCCGCAGAATGACTTCCCGGGGCTGACAGGGGCCTCACCTCGAGCGTCTCTTCTAGGTCTGCAACAGCAACGGGAATTGCCACTGCAACGCGGGGTGGGCCCCTCCGTTCTGTGAGAAGCCCGGCCTGGGGGGCAGCGTGGACAGCGGCCCGGTGCAGTATGACAGTAAGTCCCAGTGGGCTGATGCCCCAGGGCCAGGCAAGGAGGGCTGATTGCCGGATCAGAGTCTTTCTGAATTATTATGTTTTAGCAACAGCATAATGGACACCCGCATGGTGGCTGAGCTGGCTGGAGCCAGGGCTCAGACTAGATGGCCTCGAGGGTCTTTTTTTAAAGCAGTTTAGAGCTTCTTTAAGGAATGGCCAGTGGTAATTAAAGTTATTACATCGATGGGTAAATAGATAGATAAAGGTAGAAAATGCACATTCCAGTTCTATGCAGCACTTCCTGAAGAATGAAGCTCGCCGTATTGGTGCCGAGAACAAGAATAGCTTGCCTTTCTCATGCAAGGCTACGAGAATGAAGAATTACATAAACTTCGGCTAATGCGGTTGGATGTTGACCCATTAGAACAATGTAATGCAGGTTTTAGGGTTTTGCAGTGTTTATGGCCTACATATACATATGAATATTGCCATCTTAAATATATCAGATATAACTCTAAAAAGATAGAGCTTTGCATTTTCAATATGGATCAACCCATGTCTTTTCTGTAATTTTGGCAAGTCAGTTATCTATTTGCATCTTCCGCTAAGTTTACTTCCATGCATAGAAACAGAGCGAGTCAGAAGGGGCCTCCCGGGCCATCTAGTCTGACCCCCGGCACCAGTCGGCTCTGCTCACGACATGCCTGCCATGTGACCATCCAGCCTCTCCTTGAACAACCTCACCGATGGGGCCTCAGCGACCTCCCGTGGAAGCCCATTCCAGACCCTCGGGGACCTGACTGTCAGGAAGTGCTTCCTGGCACCCAAATTGAGCCTTGGCTCCCTGAGCTCTGCTCCGTTGGAGCGCGTCCTGCCCTCCTCTGCAGGGGTGAACAGGTCTCTCCCCACCTCCACGTGACATCCCCACATGCACATGCCTTTTCCAGGAATTGAATGGCCTTATTCGGAGTAGCGGCAGATGGGTTGCGTGGGCAGCCCCGATCGGGCCCCGTCATGGGGGCACGCATTGGCTCTGACCCTTGCCTCCCCCCACAGGCCACAAAAGCACCTGGATAGGTCTGGCGATGGTCCTCTTGGCGTGCCTGGTCACGATCCCGGTCGCACTCTACGTCTGCAACAGAAAGGAGCGCTCCTTCTTCTGGAAGACGAGCAAAGCCTTCAGGAAAAACCGTGAGGCCTGCCGGTCAGCAGGGGGGCATTCCGTGGGACTGGGGAGGCTTCGTGGCTTTGAATGAGTGGCTTGGCCACTGCGGGCTCCGACGCTGCTTTCCTGCCCCACGTGGGGTCCCCTGGGGGAGCTGCCGGTGGCCCGTTCCGTGATGCGCGGATGGAACGCAGCTCTCCGTGAACGGACACGTGTAGCCGTTCGAATGCTCCTGCAGTCATGCTCGGCTGTCTCCCCTCCTGCGGCGCTAAATTAGGGGGTGGACCAGAGGCGACTGGATGAGCAGCAGTTGCGTCCAGGGGGACGACAGAGGAAAACCGATGGGGATTGCCGCCAAATGAGCTCTTGCCGATCGCTGGAAAATAAGATCAGGCTCGAAAATAAACTGCAACGGTTTATTCAAGGACAAATGGTCAAGCCATGCCGGAGCGGCCTAGGAAGCAGGAGGGGGGCCCTGCCTTGAGGGTGATGCTGGGGGGGGGGGCGCTGTCGTCCCTGTCCAGGGCACTAGCAGGGCATGGGGAATCGGGGTACCTTCACGCTGGGCTCTGCAGGTCATGTGACGTTTGCAGGCCGGACTTGCTGCTGCCTCCAGGGCTGCCAGGAGCAAGAATTGGGATTGTGCTTTTTAAGAAAGCACTGCTGTTAATTCCCTTCTCCAGTTTAAACACCACCCCTTTATCGTAGAAGCCACTTCTCAGCTTCCTCCTGGGCCTGAGGGCGGGACCCACCTGCAGTCTCCTCTGCGCGAGATAGGCAGGTGTCCATCTACCTTCCTCGACCGTTGGGTTAAGCCCCTGCTGCCTTCTTGGGAAAAGGCTGAAGTCGGAAGCAATTTGGGGTGCAGCTTGGGCTCAAGGCCCACTGGCACCACGTCAGCTGGTCTGATAGTCTTCCTTCTCCTTCAAAGATCTTGGCGGCTGAAGCTTCACAGGGGCACTAAGGACTTCAAATGGAACTAATCAGAGTCCTCACCAAACATCAGAAGCCGGGATTGTTTGGAGAAGCTGTAGGAGAGGCGTGGTGGGAAGCAGGCCTGATGCGCAGCTATGCGCTCCGTGGCCAGAAGAGCCCCCACGGCTGACCTCCAGGATGGTTCCCCTCCCCCGCCGCCAGCCCCCCAGTCAGTTTTTAAGTCAGGTTGCGGTTTGGCAGCCCTCGATAACCCTGGGTTGTTGTTTTCCCTTTGTGCTTCCCGATAGGAACGGAGACGTCCGTCAGAAGGCTGACTGTGGCCACCAGAACTCCGCCTTCACCCTGCAGACCGTTGTGGCCCCTTCCTCCGGCAAAGCTGTGGGCAGAAGCTCCAGCCAGGTAAGCAGGCCCACAGACTCCTGGGGCAAACCAGTTCAAGCCCTGCGGCACGTCGATGGCCCGTCGGCAGGCTCGGTGCTCGGGCCGTCTTCTTCCCTTCCATCCGGACCCAGGGCCGGTGTGGGGTGGTGGTTAAGAGCGTGGGACTGGGACTCAGACGATCCGGGTTCTGGTCCCTGCTCGGCCATGGAGCCCACTGGGTGACTTTGGGCCAGTCACAGCCTCTCAGCCCAGCCTACCTCACAGGGTTGTTGTTGTGGGGATAAGATGGAGGAGGAGAATGATGCAAGCTGCCTGGAGCCCTTTGTAGGAAAAAGGCAGGATATAAATCGAGAAATAAATAAATAAATAAATAAATCCCCACCTTAGATTGCAGACTCGAGAAACAGTGTTTTCAGGGGCAAGAGTGAGATGCCAGCTCGCTTTGTCCATGCCCCTGTCTGCATTAAGCCTCAGTTAAGAGAATCTATGTGCTCATGCCCACGGCAGGCACCGTCAGGGCCTCGGAAAAGGCGGGCGTTCCTGGGAGGGCATCCCAGTTGGGCATGATCCGCCTGCACGGTCGGGATCGGCAGGAAACGCAGGTTTTGTGCGTCTGTTGGCTCCTTCAGAGCGTGTGGGACCCGGGAGTCAAGGCCAGGGGCCGGTCTCTCCCCTCCTCATTTGCACACAAATGTCGTAACATCAGCACAGTCCTCAGAAGCCTGATTGCCCGGCTGAGCAGTGCTGCTTGTGGAGGCATCCCGTGCTCCTGAGGCCCCCCTCTGACCCGCTCTACCCGTTCCCCGTTCGTTCATCTCAGGTTAGGAATTCATCTTAGGTCAGTTCATCCGTCTTGGAGGAGCAGTGATGCTGTGGGACGGGCGCAAGAGCGCAAATTCATCAGCACCCTGTGCTCTTGCGATGAAGCCCTTCAACAGGGAAACAAGTGAGACGGGCATGAAGGAAGAATGCATGCAGAAGTGGGAGAGTTTTGGCCTACAACTCCCATGATCCCTCAGTATCGCCTATGAGGGTGAGGGCTGATGGGAGTATATTTATTTATTATATTTATATCTCACCCCCCCTTTCTTCAAGGAACTCAAGTTGGATTGCATAATCCTCCCCCTTTCGATCTTACCCTCCCAACAATGATCTGCCAAGGCAGGGGAGACGGAAGGTGAGGGATTGTCCTGAAGGCACCCGGTGGGCTATGTGGCCCAGTGCAGCCTAGAACCCGGATCACTGCACTCACCGCTGCACTGCATAACCCCATGACCTAGAACCCTCGTAGGTTGCAGGGCCACACGTTGGCCACCCCCAAATTAGCGAACCCTTTAAATAGATCCCAAGATCTCCAGCAATTCCATAATTACTTCATAGAATCGTAGAATCACAGAGTTGGAAGGGGCCATGAAGGCCATCGAGTCCAACCCTCTGCTGGTGCAGGACACCGAGTCACACCATCCCACTCAGGTGGCTGCCCAGTTTCGCCTTGAGTGTCTCCATCGTGGGAGAGCCCCCCACCCCTCCAGGCAGCTGGTTCCCCTGCCCTATTGCTCTGACTGTGAGGAAGCTTTTGCTGATGTCCAGCCTGAATCCGGGTTGTCGCAACTTGAACTGATCCTTCTGTGTCCTTCAACTGCACTCTGTTATTCGAGTTGAAACAAAGCAAGCATTTATATCACCGTTTTTATGTCATAACACATGAATGGTGGCATTTGTCAATAGGTCCTGTGAATGATCAATCACGTATCTAAATGGCGTGTTTTGCTATGTCTTGAAGGAGAAAACGCTCCCCCAGTGGCAGCTTAATCCAGGGCTAGAAGCATCCTTGAGCAGAGGATGGCTGGACTGGCCAAGGGTCCCCCGACTCGCTGCCACTTTGCCCCCTGCATGAGTTGTCCGATGTTAAAGGAGGAACGGGGGAACAGAGTCAGTAAAGAACAAGGCTGGCCTTACGGTTTCCTGCTCCGCACTTTTAGGAAAGTCCTTCTCCCGCTTTTTGGTCCTGCCAGCGGTGGTGCAGGGCCGAATGCTTCCCGCCCTCTCTCTGCTTCCTCTGCAGGCCACGAGGAGCATGCCCGTGCTTAAACCAAGCCCCCATCAGAGCGCGTCCCACCCGGTCAACGTCGTCCGCCCTCTCCGTCCTCCACCCAGCCCGGCCGTGCCTCTTCCGAAAGATTTCAAGCCCTCCAGACCGCCACCGCTGCCTTCCGGCAAATCCCCCCACCCCGCCGTTCCCACCAAAGCGACTCCGGCTGCGCAAGCCAAGCTGCCTCCGCCGAAGAAACCCCTTCCCAGCAGCCCTGCCAGGACCCACTGGGTGAGTCGTGCTTGGCCCTCCCTGTCCGGCCTCGGCAGGGATCGGGCTTCGGAGGGGGCGCTGTGGGAGCACGCAGACCCGCTGGAGCCTCGGGCTCCCTATGGGCCTCCAAACCCACACTTCAGAGCTCAGCTTGGCTCGCTCCTGCGGTGACCAGCTTGGTTGCTGTGTGCCGTCAAGGCGCCACCTGTGAATGCACCTCATTGTCAAGGGAGGAAGGTCCAGAAGCGGTCTGCCATCGCCTTCTTCTACGCAGCGCTAACCAGCATTTGCCGTCGTCCGTGAAAGATTCTCCGCCGGGGGGCCTTCAGCTGCTGCAGCTGCCCCATGGCTGCCCGGAGGAGTTTCTCTGCCTGGATCACCATGAGAGAAGCCCCTTCTCATCTGCTGGGTGACCATGGGGCGCCAGAGGGTGGGCTTCAGCTCTGGGAGAGCCTGCGGGGGACCAGCCTGGTGAGAGGGACTGCCCCTCCCCACGGCACGGCTCTCGGCTTCCCTGACACTCTCACGCACCTTCACTGCACAGGTGTGCATCCAAGAGAGAGAACCTGTCCTTCCGGTTGCCCCAAATGGGATACCTACTAGAGTCAACGGAGGACAAGCACACCTTTTTGAAAGGTGTGCTTTTCTAAAAAGTGCATCTTTTAGAGTGCTCACGGAGCCAAACAGAAATGCCGAGTTTGGCCTTTGCAGCTTTTGGGGAACATGTGCTCCCCGACAAATTCGGGGTTGCAAATTACTTCTGAGCGATTTGCAAACTGGTGCGAAGCCCTTGTATCTCCCTGCCGTTCCGAAAGGGAGGCCGGCAACACGATCTGGAGAAGGGGAAATGGAGCCGGAGCTTCGGGGATGCGGGAGATGAGTAACCCTGTGCACGGTGCCTCTCTCCCTCCCCAAAATGTGTCTTCCGCTCCATATTCGGGTCCTGGCATTTTGGAGCAGTGAGCAACGCACGGCAGCACAGCCAAACCAGAGGCCGGCAGCCAGCTCCAACGGCCGTCTCCCCCTCTTCCCCCGCTGCTAGGTCGATCTGAAACAGCGGCCCCCCCGCAAGCCCCTCCCGGGGAACCCCCTTCTGGCGAAAGAGCGGCCGTCAGCTCAGGGGCAGGCCTTGCTGGTTATGGTGCCTCCCTCGAACTCCAAGGCGGCCGCCGGCGTCTCCTCGGGCCACTTCTGCAAGCCACTCAAGTAAGTTGGCGACGGGGCCGGTTGCGGCGGCAGCCTTGATGGTCCCGACGGCCCCTGGGTGGGAGGGGGCAGGCGGTGGGCAGGGGGGCGGCTGCAGCGGGGGCCAAAAGGGCGGTCGCAGGGTTGGCATCGGAGCAGCTTGACGTTCTGGCCAAATGGCTCCTGCGCTTGGCATTCCAGGATGACGGATTTTCCCTCCCGCCAAAATGTGCTGGACTGCAGCTCCTACTCAGCCAGCACTGCCAGTGCTGGCTGGGAGTGATGGGAGTTGTAGTCTGGTTTGCTGGCGGCTAGGTTTGGGGAACGGTGTTGCAGAAATGCTGGAATGGGCCATTTCGTTGCCTGTGTTCTGGGGGCTGAGCTCGCATCGGTGTGGCATCTTGAGAAAGTTTGACCCAACCGGGGTCTTTATGTGAAGGTGGACCATTCATGGAACCAGTGGGGGAATTTCCTGGGAGTCCGTTCTGGCAACGGGAATCACTGCGGATAATTTCTCACCCAAGATGGACGGAGAAATCCACCACGCTCATTTCTGAAAGTGAAAACGACTTATTCAGAAATGGAGAAGCGTTCTAAGCGTTCTAATCCATGTTTTTCTTTCGGTGCCGACAGCAACGTTTTCTATGATAAAACTGGAACCTGAGCCCACGAGGCTTCCCAGTTTGCCTGGGGCAGGACTCTGGGGAGGCCTTGCTGAGGGATGTGGCATGAGGAAAGGCAGGGCTGTTTCGGGCTGAGACGCCATCTCAAAAGCTCCCTCCCCAGGGGACAGAAACCGGCAACTCTCTGAAGCTGCCAGCAGCCAGAAGCCCCCAAATGCTGCGAGATTCTGAACCCTGAAGCCCATCCACTGACAAACCTCTGTGTTTTTTCTTTCCCCGACAGGCCCTCGCCACCGCAGAGGTGAGTGCCACTGCTGTGGCCGGCACAGCAAAATCCATTTTCTCGTCCTGGGCTGTTTGCGCATGCTCACTTGCTCAAGAAGACAAGATATAGTTGGAGGGCCAGCGCCAAGGGTAGGCCTGGCCGGGCATCTGCTGGGGCCCGCACCCCAGTGGGGGCCCACGGACCAGTCCCCCTGGAGCTGCCCCTCCTCTCTGTGCTGCAGCCAGCTGGCCCATCTTCCCCTCCCTCTGGCCCAGAGGACTGGTGGAGGGGAGGGAGTGGGAGACGCGGCCGCCTCCGTGCGCCCCGGTTCTCTGCCTGGCAAGACCAAAAGGTTGCCCACGAGGAGGAAGTAGAGCAAGAGCGGCTGGGGCCATGGCACGGAGAAGGGGGCCTCACGGGGGGGGGGGTACTGAGGGTGGCTGGCCCCGGCACCCCGCAAAGCTTCGAGCCAGCGCCGTGTGGGGGAGGCCTTTCCGGCAAAGCGACTGCATGCGAGGCAGGCATCCTGGGCAGAGGCCCTGAGAAGCCCCTGGACGTGGCCTGGGGCGGCCTCCCTCTTCACCCTTTCGTCTCCCTGCTGTGCAGAGGCCGACCCCGTCTGGAGAAACAGCGGGGGAACGTGACACGTCCCTGGAGGGGGGAGGCAGCCCGGGGGGCGGGGGAAGCGCTTCTGGCTCAGCGCTTTTGGCTCAGCCATGACCGTGGGCCTTCCCCTGCCCTGTCTGTTGGGGCCCCCGATCCAGTGGCGCCGCAGGGAGCAGTTGCCACCACCTGAGCGGGGCCCAGACGCTTTTCAGGCTGTGGGACTCCTTCTCTCAGGGCACCCTTGGAGGCTGCTGCCGACGTGGGGCAGAGCTAAGAGCAGAAATGAAAAGGATGGGCCAGAGCGAAAGACGGGGCGGCCCGGCAGCAGGCTTGCTTCCTCATGCGCGCCCCCCCTCCCTCCCCTTCTCACACCCACCTTCAGCCACATCGCTGCGTGACGCGCGCACCGCTATTTTCGCAGCTAACACGCGAGCACAAATCGCCCGTCGTTTTTCTTGGAATTAGGGTTGGACAAGGCCTCCTCTGAGAGCCCAAGGCCTCCTCCGAGCCTTATGCCCGGGAGGTGGGGGTGGGAACATTGCTCTCAACATTGCAACTTGGAGGGGGGACCTTCCCCCCCCATCTGCGATCTCTGGGAAGGCGCCTCCCCCCCCCCCCCCCCCCATGTAGCCGTTCAGCCCCTGGTCCACCCGCGGGGGGAACTTTGTTTAGGAAATGCTAGGGGGGGGGGAGGGGGGGGGGGGGGGGGGGCTGCAGCAGGACGGGGGTCCGGTGGGCTGGGGCTGCCCTTGACTTGGGCTGGCCGTTCCGACCCCTCGCTGCATGTCCCGCACGAGGCTCTCTGGCCACGGCGCTTCCTCCTGGTGGGGCACTGACTTTGCCTGGTCCTTTCCCCAGACCTGCCCCGGGCTTGAAAGTCCAGTCCGCTTCCTTCCCCTCGAGGAAATGACCACGGTGGAATCGGGGCCGCGGACCTTCGGCAGACGCCTCCTTCCTGATTTGCACTACTGCACTCAAGCAGGGACTTTCGCTACCAAAGACTGTTTCGTTTCGTTTTTGAAGAAAAGTCACGGTCGTTTCCACTAACGATGACGAAGGATGTGGAGGGGCTGTGGATGGGGGAAGCAGCGCTCCCCTGCGGGCACGGGGATCGGGGGGCGGCGAGCCTCGGGGAGCGGCGGAGAAAGCCCGTTGCGGCCCTTCTGTGAATGGTGGGCTGCGCCGCTGCCCGTCGGGGCTTGCGTTCCCGCACCTAGGGCGTCAGGTCTCCGGAGGGCCCGGTCCTGATCCACGGAAGCCGCCCGAAAGCGGTGGGCCACACTTAGCTACCTCCTCCTCTGACGGAGCCTCAGAGGACCCCCCCCCCTTCCTCGCTGGATTCCCAAGCGCTCCATGCTGTCCTCCGGAGCTGCTGTCCCGGGACCCCAGCTTTCCCAAGTGCCTGGCGTCCCCGGCATGGGGCCGCCTGTTCCGGCTCGGTGCCCCTCTCCCGCGTGCGGGACTACAGTCCCAATCATCCTCGGCCAGCACGGCCAGGATGGGAGCTGTGGTGTGACATACGCAGAGGGGGAAAGACAGGAGAGCTGCATTTCTGTGCAAGCGCTTTGCCACATGGCTGCCCATTGCAGAAACGGCCGCCGGGGGGGCCGTGTGGGGTCTGGATTGGGACCCCGTGGAGTGAGGCTACCTCTGCGGGTGGATCGTGTCGGGGCTCATGGAATTTCCGCCAGAAAAGCCACCTGGGGGCAAGTTCCCTCTCCGCCGTCCGCAGCCACGTACCCTAGTCCTGATCAAGGCCTCGCAGGGTGGCAATTCCGGTTAAAACAACCCGGGGTGGGCAGGTCCCCTCATCTTTTCGAGGTGACACCCCCCCTCGTACCTGTTTACATGCCCCCAGTTCACGGCTGCCACTCTGCGCCAGCGGCCACCGTTGCCTCACGCAAACAGCGCTGCCGCGGCAGGGATCCCCCCACTGGTTGGGGGTCGCGCATCGGTGAGGTGCGCTGCTCTGTTTGTGGGGAACGGGGGCAGGCCCGGGGCAAGGAGACCAGGCGAGCCGCCACGAGCTGGGAGGGGGCTCGGCGCGTGGATAGGGCTGGAGTGGCCGAGCGATGCGCCACGGCCGGCACACGAGCCCCGGGCCCCCACTCCCAGCTGCACCTCAGTTGCCCTCGCGGAGACCGTCTTTGTGGTGGGGGACATGCTTTCCGTTAGTGAGGGGCGTCCGGCGCCGATCCGGCTGCGTGCTGCTGTTGGTGCTCCGTGGGAGGCTCCCGACCTTTCCCTGGGGGACGCGTGAACGGCCTCTGCTCCCTCAGGCCTCCGTTATGCGGGAAGGAGGCGTCCGCACCTCCTGGGGCCCTGCGTTCCCGAACCTGAAAATGTGACTTGGGAGCAAGCGTGAGCGCCGCCTCTCTGGCCCTGCTCTTCCCGGGAGCAGCATTCCCGTGAAGGCCCCGCTTCATCGGGGCGGCGTGGCCTCCTCGCTCCAAGAGCAGAACTCCCGTGCCTCCCGTGTGGCTTGGTGCACGGCTCCCCCTTCAGTGCCCTTTCCCAGACTTACACCTCAGTGCCGTCCCATTTCCTTAGATCTGGCCAGAAATTCAGGGAAGGGCTTAAAAAAAATTCTTGATTATGCAAATGAAGTCAGCCTGTGCAAAGATGCTGAACTGGCATTAATCTTGGCCTAGAATCTGGGTTTTCCTCTGCTCTCTGCAGACCGTTGGAACGCTGCAAGCCGGTCCCTTCCAAGTGCCTCATCTGCTGGTTGCCCGTAGCCACAGATGGCTCCTCATTCGTTCTGATGGGCCAGCAGACTTCCGCTTTTTCTCCGTGCGTCCCGGGCGATCCAGGCGTACCTCATGTGCTGAGCTCAGGCAGGCCAGAAGCTGAGACTTTCATGCTGGGCCCCTTTCTCCCAGAGATGTGTGCCTTCAACATAATTTTGGAAACCACCAACCCCCACTTCCCTTCTGAAAAATAATGAAGAAATAAAGGGCTTTTTCTTATTTAAATAGAGATTGACAAGTGTTTTTAATGGTAAATACCTCATTATTTAATCACAGGCACTTCATACCCTTAAACGTACCTCAAATATTAACACAACTTCACTAAATCGTACCACTGTATGTTGGAAATGGAAACAGAGCATTAGAAAAAGCAAACAACCGTTTTTCAGAATGCAGAACATTAAAAGCTATTATTACAAATATTAAAGCTGAAACACATTAAGCACCATTCAAGCATACATACAAAATTATCCATTAAAGCACTGTATAGAACTAGAACACTAAGAATATATACATTATCTTCCCTTCCATCCCCTTCTCTCTCTCCCCCCCTCCCCCCTCCCCCGCAACTCTGCTACCAAAGGTACCACATAGCCCTTTCGCCCCATCTTGGCTCTCCTCTGAGCAACACCCTCCCCAGGACTTGTGGAGGGGTGTTGTGTCTGCCCTTGGCCTTCTCGTGGTCTTCCAGGCCTGGAGCGCTGCCCCCTTTCTGGGGGTTGGCACCTTTCTGGAACTGGGTGCAGAATTCCAGGTGACGCCTCACCTGTGCTGAGCAAAGGGGAACTAGCACTTCATGTGTTTTGGAAGTGATGCTTCTATTAAAGCAGCCCAAAATAGCATTTGCCCTTTTGGGGTCCGCATTGCATTGACGACTCATTTTCAGCTTGTAATCTACAACAATTCCGAGATCTTTCTCACTGGTGCTATGGTTGAGCCAAGGATTCCATCTTCACAGAATCCTAGCATGGTAGAGTTGGAAGGGGCCACGAAGGCCATCGAGTCCAACCCCCTGCTGGTGCAGGACACCAAGCCACACCCTCCCACTCAGGTGGCTGCCCAGTTTCACCTTGAATGCCTCCAGTGTGGGAGAGCCCCCCACCCCTCCAGGCAGCTGGTCCCACGGTCACATTGCTCCGACAGAGAGGAAGCTCTTCCGGATGCCCAGCCTGAATCTGGGTTGCCGCAGCTTAAACTGATGCAGCGGTGCAGATGTCCAACACCCCCTCATTTGCCCCTGTGACACTGCAGTCTGCAGTTTCCATCCCAGCACTCCAACCTATTAAGATCCCTTTGGAATTTGCTCCTGTTTTTTCCAGAATAGTCGCTATCCCACCTCTCACCCAGTTTTGTGTCCTCCACAAATTGGCTCAGCCTTCCCTGCCCCTCCTTATCCAGATCATCAAGACAAATGCCAGAAGAGCCCTGGTCTCAGGGCCCCTCTGGCTCCCCCGCCCCCAGTCTGAGAAGGTGCCGCTGGTGAGCGCTCTTGGAGTCTGCTTCTGTGGCCAACTGTGGATCCACCTCATCGCGGTTCCATCTAGCCCACATTTTCTAGTTTGCTAATCAGGATTTCATGGGACACTTTGTCAAAAGCTTTGCTGAAGTCAAGATAGATTATGTCCAAGGCATCCTCATAGTCCACAAGGGAGGTTAGCCAATCAAAAAATGTGATCAGATTAGTCTGGCAGAATTTGTTCTTGAGAAATCCATGTTGGCTTCTAGTAATCACTGCATTAAAGGTGCTTGCAAATTGACTGCTTTATAATCTGCTCCAGGATTTTCCCATGGATTGATGTCAGTCTGACTAGCCGGTGCTTGCAGGTTTCTCCTTTCATCCCTTTTCTAAGACAGGTAAAGACGGAGCCTTTTGGCACTTCCCCTGTCCTCCAGGACTTCTTAAAGTTAGTAGACAGTGGTTCTGCAAGTTCTTTCTTCAACTCCATTTATTTATTTATTTGAAACTTTTTAATCCCACCTTAACATCCAAGATGGATCTCTAGACTGCTTACAAAAGAGAAAAACTGACAGCACTTAAAGAAAACACAATCTTCAATATATGGAAATATACGGTAAAAGCATCCAACCATTAACATACTGGGTGAATAAAATGGAGTTAGCCTGCTGCAGAAAGGAACACGGTGTTGAGGCCAGGCAAGCCTCTCTGGGGAGCAGGACGCAGACCTGCGGTGCTACCACAGAAAAGGCCCTTCTCTGGGTCCCCGCTCTCCTAACCTCCTTCACAGGTTACCAGAGCATGGAGTGCCACTTCTGGGCTCTGTCTGCCCAGGTACGGATGTAGCTGATGGACCAGCCGAAGCGGGGAAGGTGCTCCTCACCACAGCTGCCACCTGAGACTCCAAGGACAGCTCCAGGTCAAGGAGCACCCCAAACCACACGCCCTGTCCCTTGGGGGGAGTGCAACCCAGTCCAGATCAGGGCGAGCATCACACACCTGGACAGGCGATTGCTCCAGGATGCAGTTCCTCAGGGCCTGGAGATCTGAGCCCATTCAGACAGAAGGTGGTGCTCCCGGCCCATCTGGCCTATCAGTCTCGGGTGGCAACCTAGTCCCTTCCAGGTGCGCTGCTTTGCCAGGTGTTGGCAAGGGCACTTGCCGATTCCCAGATCCCTCCACATTGGTGCGGGTGCAGCGGACAGGGAAACTGGCCCCTAAAATCAGGAAGTGTGAAAACCCCTGTACTAGGGCCACGTTTTAGGGTCTGGCTGCATTACTGGGGCACCTCCCAGGCTTGGGGGAGAGGGTGGCTAACCGGAATCCCCTGCAGGGCCGGGGCATGACTTAGCTGCCCCTTCCTGGTCGCCCATGAGGTGAAAGGTGGGGAAGAGGGAAGGGCTATTGCTCTGTGGTAAATGCCCAGTGGCTCAGGGCTCTGGGTGCAAATGTCCCCAGCAGCTCGAGGTAGGGCTGGAGGCTGCCAGCCCGTGCTGCCAGTCCCAGGGGCAAGGGCCCTCGCCCCAGCCAGTGCTACGTTCCCAGCCACCCACTCTGCCCATTCTGTTGGGCAGCTGCAGAAATTCTCTCCTGCAATCCCTCTTGGACCCAGGAATCTTTAGGACCTCCTGTTGCCCTCAGTTCCCGGCATGCTGCCCCGTCCACGTGCATTTGGAGACCCGAGAGGGGGAGGAGGGAGCAGGAGCCTTCACGCGTCTTCCTGGCCAAAATCCGCGGGGTGTCTTTGGCCCACGGGCGCCACCGACGGGATGTGCCTCCTTAAAAGCCGCGCTGCTCCGGCGCCGGCTTCTCCTGCTCCCCGCTCTTCCCCCTTTCTCAGGAATCCCCAGCAAGGAAAGGGAAGGCAGGGATCGCCCTGCGCTGGGTGCGCCTCGCTCTGGATTGCAGCAGGAGGGCCTGGACGAGGAGCGCCATGGCGGCCACCCGCTGATGCCGGACGGACGGACGGACGGACGGACGGACGCAGCGGAGGAGCCCGGCTGGCTTGGCGCGCTGTGAGCAGCAGGTGGCAGCAGAGGTCCACCGGTCCTGCTCCGCGGGCTCGCCAGCCTCCCTGCGGGGACCCTCCTCCTTTGTGTGGGGATTTCCACCCCCCTCGTTGCTAAATCCTATTTAGAGGGTCTTTGTGTGGAGTAGATCGAACCTCTCCAGTGGGTGCCAGGGGCTGAAATTGCCGGGGGTCCCTTTTCTCTCTGTTCCATGTCCTGTAGGCAGACAAGGGCGTCTTGGATAGATCCCGGGACCCTCCCCTGCCCTGCATGTATGAGGGGGATCTTCAAGGCTGATGAAGCCATGGTTGCCCTCCAGAACCACCTCGTACAAAAAGCGCTCCCAAATATGCCAGTTTCGTGCCGATGCTTTTCCGCTTAGGGATGAGCAGCTCGGAGAAACGTCACAGAGAGGGCCCCAGATTAACCCTGCGGTTTGGAAAAGGCAGCTGCCACCAAAGGGAAGCCTGGGCATTTGGACGGAGCTCTTCCAAATTGCAAAGGACTCTTCCTTAATATCATAAAAGAGGGACCGGCGCCTGTGAGTACCAAGGCAGCCATCCTGGTTTTTATTTCATTCCTGAAGTTTTTAAACATGGACTTTTACTGCCAAATCTGGGAGGCTGGCTTCCAGCACCATCGGGTTTGGGGTTCAAAAGACTGGCTTCAAGCCTGGTCAGCCCACCGTGCCTACCAGGATGGACCCTCACCTTGTGGTGCAAACACCGCCTTGCATGCAGAATATCCCAGTATCCGTGTCCAGCGAAGACTCTCAGTTGCAGAGTCTGAGCAAAGGCCCGAGACTCTCTGGCAGGGAGGCACATGGTCCCCCCAGCGTTGCTTGACTGCGACTTTGTATCAGCCCCGGCCGGCCTAATCAGCGCCGAGGAACATAGGTGTTTCTTCATATCCTAATCAGGTTATTGTTTCAGGGTGGGTTGAACCCTACCTGAGCCCATCCCTCCGGCGTTCGCAGCCCCTCTCGTGCAAGGTGAGCCGAGCCAGGGGAAGGCCACAGGTGATCAGGGGCCGAAGGGGGTGCAACTCTCCTCTACATCGGGTGCTGCAAGCGGCGTGGAAAGGAGATGCTGCATGCACAGAAGCCACGTGGAGCTCCGTTCCTCTGGCCACGTCCCTCTTCCACATCACGGGAGAGAGGTGTTGCCTGCGCAGGGCAGGGTGCAGTTCCAGGCACGTGTCCTTCACACACTGGACATGCTTGCCCGAAATCGGGCTCAGTGCCGCTGTGCCGCTGACTGGAGTCCAGATTGCTGAGCCTGGGGAATCTGATGCGTTCTACCCCCAACCCCTAGCTGAGAATCCCTCAAGGTGGTCAGGGCAGTTTCAGGGAACTGCGGTCCAACATGATCCGGAGGGCTGCATCCTCCTTTCCTGTCCTAGAAAGATGTCCCCATCCAGGGCAGGGGATAGTCGGCTCCCTGGGACAACCGTCCGACTCAGTAGGAAGCAGTTCTGCCAGCAACAGTAGATCAGACCTTAACAGAGTTTGTTAAGAATCCCCTGGCTGGGAACGCTGGGAGCTGCAGGCCATGCTGGCTGGGGATGTTGAGAATTGTAGTCCAACCCATCTGGAGGGCACCCAGTTGGGAAAAACTGGTATACTGGGCTGGATGTATCAATGGGTCCACCCAATATAAGGCAGCCCCTTCTCTGGCCTGAAGCCAGGGTACAGGGAAGGTTGGATGAGCACCCCCTTAAATTTCCTCCCCCTCCCCTAATTTTTTTATGGAAAAATAATT